CTGTTGTATATAGCAACCTAAATGACGGATCTCCCACCCCTTCCTCGCAATATTGGCATGTCCATTACGTTAACTACAATTTTTACAAAGTGCAATACATTTGCTATTTTGCTACCTTGAATAAAGCGAAGGGCTTCATGCTTAAAGACCTAACCCATGCACAGGAAAATTTCTGCCGCATCCACGAGTAATAGTGTACAAAGGTTCAATAAGGATTATTCGCCATCCTTGCTGTTATTTCATTTCATGGAGTCAGTATCAGATTTCAAGTGCCCCTTTTCACCTTCAACTACAATTGCATGAAGAGCTATTTAGACTTTTTAAACTGAGAAAGAAGGCTACACTAAAGTAAGAGAGTAAGCCCCAACCTGACTTAATAGACTCGTTACTGACATTTATTATATGGCTACAATAGTAAGCGCGCTCTGATTGGCTGTTTTCTTGTAATGACCAGGCATTACTGGCTACAATCATCGTCATAAGTGTTGGGAAGGCTACTTTTTTACCTCTTTTTTTCCTTCCTCCCCTCGCCCCTGGCCCAATGTTGAGCAAAACGTTAACGTTTGTGCGCGTGTAAGAGGGACGGTGAAGGACGGGGGTTATTTAGCAAAACTCTCTTTTTGGAGGATTAAAATGGACTACTGTTAAGCAACCTCGTCCCCAGGGCTTTTCCCTTAAAAAAGTATACAATTTGTGTTTAACTTGATAGTGGACACCCATGTCATGGTCAATTGAAACCTGTAAAAAAGAGTATCCGCTGACCAGTGCCAAATGAACGTATCGCTGGCTCAAGTGAATAACTCAAGGTGACGTATTTTTTAAGTTATCTGCTGACCAGTTGTTGGCTTTAATTCATTGCAGGCTCAAGTCCACAATGAAAAGGCTAACTTATTGATTTCGTCCGTTCGGTCATTACAGGGAGATCCTAGATCTCGGCCTTGATGTATTAACCTCGCTGTCGCTCGGTCAATATAATTTTCATCATCATCATCATCAATCATCAATCTTTATTTATACACGAAATCGTATCATTTTACATGGTCTTCCTAGGAATCGTGTTTAAAACTAGACTAAAATACTCTAAGGAACTATTGACTATAATGTTAAAAATACAAAAACTTACATTATGAATAATAAGAGTTACAGTGGGTCATAGTGTATTAGAGAAATCCTTCCCATGAATTGAAGTTTTAAAAACATTTAAACTAGGCAGTTTTCTAATCTCTGAGGGAATCTTGTTCCACAGAACAGATCCTCTGTAGTGTAGGCTCCCTTTTGCAGACTCAGTTCTGGGTCTGGGGACATAATAATTTAACTCAGAATTTCTAAGATTGTGAATGTACATTTGAGGTGTTGGTAAAGATCCGCCTCACATACGATGGGGAAAGATTATTATGGATTTTATACATTGCCACAGCCAACTGTTTAAGGCTTACATATTCTAGCCTTTCCCAGCCAAGCTCATCCAACAAAACACTTGAGCGAACGTCATATTTAGAAAAGGTGAGAATTCTAGCAGCCCTATTCTGCAGCTTTTGAAGTTTGTCTGCTAGTCCCTTATTGATATTACCCCATACGGCACCACAGTAATTAAAATATGGCATTACCAGTGCATTGTACATATTCACTCTAGTATCAAATGGTATAAAATGACTTACACGCCTTAAGATAGCAATACCAGCAGACATTTTCTTTGAAATGGTATGAATGTGTGGGCGCCAGTTCAAAGATTCATCAATTTGAACTCCAAGGGATTTATGTTTAATTACTCTTTCTAAGGGTGTATTATTGACTTTCACTGTGAAGTCACTATTTATTTGGGATAACTTAAACTGGCTCCCTATAAGCATGTATTTATTCTTCTTAACATTTAAAGTTAATTTGTTTGCTGACAGCCATGACTGGATTAAATTCATATCATAATTCATTTTATTATATGGAGGAGAGTGTTTTACTGGGAACTAAACCACTCGTAGATTCCATACGCCACTTCATCCGGGACCCGAGTGGCGTATTTTCCGTATGTCACCTTTGTGAGTGTCGTATCGTTCAATGACGTGACGATTCCCGCCTTTTGCTTTTGTTGAATTGGTTTCTCCATATAATAAAAAGAACATTACACGTTGGCTCGAAGATATGAATTTTATGTTCTCGTGGCAAGAACAATATCTCACTCGTTCGCTTCGCTCACTCGTGAGATATTGTTCTTGCCACTCGAACATAAAATTAATATCTTCTCGCCACCGTGTAATATCCTCTATTTATGTTCAAGGACACATGGGTCTTCTGCAGATGTGGTAAGGGTAGTATCATCTGCATACATTCTGGGTTTTGAAAACAAATTACATGAAGGGAGATCATTAATATAAATAGTGAATAAGAGAGGGCCTAAAATAGACCCCTGTAGAATACCACATGTTATATTACAGAAATCAGATTGAACTCCATCAATGAACGTTTGTTGCTTTCGGTCAGATAGATAGGACTGGAACCAGTTAAGAGATTGAGAACTGACCCCATAGAGTTTAAGCTTTCCCAGAAGGATAGCATGATACATGGTATCAAAAGCTTTTTTCAAGTCCAGGAATATCACACCATTTAAGAGACTGTTGTCAATATTCCATAGCCATTCATTCGTAGCCTCAAGTAAAGCTGTTTCAGTGGAAAACATAGGTCTGAAGCCAGATTGTGATTCAGTTAACAAGTTATTATTATTTAAATATTCATATAATTGATTAAAACAACTCTTTCAATTAATTTACTTACTACAGGCAGAACTGCGATAGGTCTGTAGTTGTTAGGATCAGTCCCGAGGTCTTCTTTAAATATTGGCGAAACTCTAGCTCGTTTCCAAGCATTTGGAAATATTCCAGTGGTAATTGACTGATTTATTATAAAAGTTAGACTGCGAGTAACTATGGGAGACGCTTCTTTCAGGAGACGTGCTGAGATTTTCTGCTCAAATGGGGCAAAATTTATGAGATTTCCCTGTAATGACACTCACTCGCTGTTAATAAGTGGTATATATAGCTGCATGTTACTTTTATTTGTTATGGTCGACATTCAATTAACCGGAAGCTCTTAAAAGGAGAAACAATTGTCCCCTTAGGCACTGGTCGAAAAGTATGGGGGGGGGGTGGGCCGGAGCAGAGAGGGGGTGGGTCATGAGGTTTTGAGCCTTCTGCAAGGGGTGGGTGGTGCAATTTTCAGCTATCCTTACTTAGGGGGTGGGTCACCCTATTTTTTACTAACTACTAACGAGACAGTTGACTACACTTGTTATATAAAACACAGCCAGCTGGAATTATTGCTAAAGTACTCACAAACCTGTTGTGCGAAAAAATACAAAGGTTGACAGGCCGCACATCTATACGTGCATGGAACCCTCTGTTAACCTTTTTTTTTTTCGGCTCTAACGAGCATGTCCTTTAACGATTTTCCTTTTTTGTAAGGAAATGATTGGTGGTTCTTTAAAAATTTATTGAAGTTATAGTTGGTTTTGTATAAGATTCCATTTTTTCATTCAAGCTTCCTTTATAGTAGACACTGAGGGCTGGTATTGTGTCACGAATGGCAATATTTCTTTTTCCTCCTTGTTGTTTTGTTTTAGGAGTTTAGACTCCCTTTTGTGAATTTTATTTCTGATAGTAGGTTTTCTATCAAAGATAGGGGGCACCCAACGAGAATATAGTTCAAAACCACTTAAACATAGCATTGTTAAACGTATTTTAGTATTTAAACAGTAGATATAGGCATATTTTTATCCCCTAAAAATTTTTAATCTGTTCGGATCTCCTAGCTGAAAGTCTAGTGATACGAAAATTGTAGGGATCAAAACTTACCTTTTCGAAAATTTCAGCCAGAATAAAGGCTCCTGAAAATGCTAGGTGACCTTAGGGTAAAAATCCGTTAAAAATGGGCAATTAGACCATTTTTTAGATGTTCGAAAATCCTAGGAGGGGCAGACAAGCAAGAAATTTTACAACAAATGTTCCAAAAATTCTAGATCTCAAACGTTGGGTGCCCCTGAAAGATCAAGATTGTGGGTAGCCTCCGTCCGTCAAGCGTTTTTTTTTTTAAATTTGAATTATTTTCCTCAAAGGTTGTTTCTGAGGAGTTTTTTCGTAGGATTCTTAAGGCTTCTCCTTTGACAAATTCTTTTTTAACATCTGGAGGGTGACACGAGGTGAAATGTGTGTGCAAGAAGCTTTCCGTTTGTTTAAAATGTGCCTTTGCATCAAGGGTAGATTTTTCCTTGAATCTTGTGCCTTTGTATACAACCGTGTCTAAAAACGCAGTCTCAGTGTCAAATGTTTCGGCCGTGAATTCAATAGTTAGGTGATGTAAGTTTGCTTGTTCAATGGAGGCTTCGATGTTTGGTTTACTCATGTCCCATAGAAAAAAAGATAGCGTGTACGTGGCATTTCCAAACTGTTGTTCTAAAGACAGTTTTGCTTAAAGTTGTTGTTTCAGTATATGTCGTGAAAATATTGGCAAAGGAATCAAAACTGCTGTCTTTGTGCCCATTTCAGTTCCATGGTTTTGTAGGTAGTGTTTTCCACTGAAGTGGAAGAAATTTTCGTTGAGGATTAATCTAAGTATTTCCGGCAAGTAATGTGTAGGAATGGGTTGTCTTTGTTGAAATTTTCATATGCTTTGTGACAGATAATTTCAATATACCCTCGTTTTGCTGTATATTTGTGTCAAGACTCATAACGTCCATTGAAACAAGAAATGTTCGGTTTTTCACATTCTTCTTTTCAGTGAAAGGTATGATTTCTGTGATTTTGATATTGCTTGTAGCAGTGTATCAACAAATTTTGGCAAGCACGGAACAAGGTTTTATTGGATTATTAAGAGGAAACCGAACATCCATGTTTTAACTAGGGGGTGGGTCATGCAATTTCCAACCTTGCTTTAGGGGTGGGTCAGTCATTTTTGTGCCGAAGGGAGGGGGTGGGTCATGTGTTTTTTATCAACCACATTTCCAAATGCTGCGGCCCCCCCCCCCTTTACTTTTTGACCAGTCCCTTAGGATAGAAGTCCACTTAAGGAAGGTTTATGTGGAACAAACAAGTAGCCAAAAAGCCCTAGTTGTACAAGATATGGCAGTGATTTGTAAATTGGATAAAGCTCAGCTCTGCTACTTTGGTAGGCGGGGTAAGCTATTTCTTTTTCCCTTTTTCTTACTTTACTTTAGCCCTACCCCCATAACTCTCTTGAATTATTTACATCAACTCTTGTTTCATGATAAAGAAACAAAGAAACAAAACAAACCCCGGGATTTACTGAATACTGCTGTGCTGTAATTCACCCGCCCTGGGTATCTCGCATCGAACTCTTATGTCTCTCTTCCAAATGCAGTTCGTGTTCAGATACAGTGACGCCGTTTGCCTGCCAGTTTACTTCTTCGTTCCTTTACCGTCCGACATATCAGGTAGGGAAGGGGGTTTTAGTGAATACTTGAGCGCGCGACTGGAGTCTGGGAGCTGATCTAATGAAGCCGCTGACCGCATCTGAGTCTCGGCTGCAGATGATAAAGACGAGGAGGACTTGGTCGGGGTCTTAGGCGTTGGGGGTCCACTGGAATCTATTAAAATAATAATTAAAAAACGTTACCTAGGGTGCTTACCAGTTATAAAAACCATCCGGGTGATAATATTGTGTAGAAACATAAAACCAATGAAATTATTTGAAGTTGTAGAAGAACGACCCGCTGCAAAGTATAGCCAAATCAACTGAACAGAACAATTTCATCAGCTCAAATCACAGGTCATGTTTTCTAAAGCTTCCCAAACAGAATGGCAAGAAACATTAACCGGAATTTCCGGTTTTCCCATGTAAATAGTAAGTACCTCTGGTCACGAGTACAAAACGTATACATCACTTAAGCCAATTAGCCGCTATAAAAATGGTACGTTTGCATGAACAGGTAATACAAAAAAGCTCACAGATCTAAAGTGCTGTACTATCTATAAACTTACATCGTTAGAATCAAAATAAAAAGGTAAAATTCCGGTCAATCACCAGAAGAAATGAAATCACCCCGTTAACAAACACAGTGGGAGGGGCACACTTTCAAACGACGTGTTTAGCTCATGCAGGGCGATAGCTACATAACAGTTTTCCAAAACCTAGTTAATACCAGTCAAACATGATTTGACTGCGGCGAAGTCAAACAAGGGAATTTCTATGGTATGTTGGTAAGATGCTGACTGCAGTCGTTATTTTGTTTCGTTTATAGTTTTCCTCTTTAACCAAAACATGAACAAGAAAGCCTGAGAAAACAGCTGACATTTCGCGACACCACCTCTGGCTTCCCTGCGAAATGACGGGCGCGACCCATTCAACCGAAATTTCTGGAAATTTCGGTCCAAAGCTCAATGGATCGCTTCGGTCCAACCGGAAAAGTTTCGACAAAACTGGTCCCCCTTTTGAGGTGGACCACTTTTCTCGGTCGGACCGGTCGGAATTTTGGTTGAATGGATCGCGCCCAATGTCTGGGGAACGACTCCAGAAAATCCATACTGATGACGTGTCACAACCGAGATCTGGTAGTGCTCCTGATTGGTTGTGCCGCGTGGGAAATTTGCTTCGACCAATCAGAAGCACCACCCAGATGTGTGCAGTGACACGTCATCAGTATGGAATTTATGCGCTCGTTTCTCAGACATCATTTTGCGGGGAAACAGGTGGCGGCGTCGGGAAGTGTCGGCTGTTTTCTTCAGGTTATGAACAAGGCGAGTCGACCTTCTTCAGTCACCTGTACCGAGCTCGCGTCCGAAGGCGATGACTAACGTAAAATACACATACACGTGTGATGACTACCTACCTTGGCCGGCTGCCTTCTTTTCCAGTTGTGCAGTGTAATATCCATTATGGTCCAGCCGCGCAATAATATTCAGCATCTGGTGTTCACAGTCGATTGTAGAGTAATGACTCAGTTTTTCCAGTAGATCCATTAAATGGAGCGCAAAGTTGCTGTCAAAATTCTGGATGGTGCGCTCAAAGTCTTCTCCACTGATCATTTGATCTACATGATCAGATACAACCTATGCACACACCAAAAAAACATCAAACCTATTTCACTGAGCCATAGTCTGTTCACAGCCCGTAAGCCTTTTTCGGTGCAAAAGTGGAGATAAACAGGTCGTCACTTAGATTTCATACAGCGAGCGAAATACAAGCAGAGAAAAACACCCCTCCCCCAATTACCCATGGTAATTTTAAAGTTATTTTCAGAGGTCAGATTTCGCTCGCCACATAAAATATTGACGGCCGCCTCTCGAACTCGGCGATCGAACACGAGAATCGCACAGGAAAATAAGGGACTGTGAAGAGGTTCTAACTGGACCGGTAAGCACAGTGAAACGAATTCTAAAATGTGAATCTTAACCTTAAACTGGAAACATGACCTCGCGGTGGAACTTTAGGGAGTCTGAGACATTCGTGTCTGGCAAACAAGCTGATGAACAGAGGACGTATGAATTTGCACGCCATTTAGATAAATCTGTCAGCAAAGTTTCTTGGTCAAGGACCTGTACAGTGTAATTTCCGACCTCTACTTGAACTGTTGACACCCAAACCAAACAAACAAACAAACGAAGACAAAAATAAAGAATTAAGACAAACGAGCGACGGGTGAACCTTGAAAGTAGTTTTCTTTTTCTCCTGTTCTCCTGGTGGGGGACCTCTCTTGTTCATTGGACTCACACCAGGGGCATCGGTTTCTTGTGACTCTACACTGGCACTTTGGGTGAACCGCTGAAATAAAGAAATGCCGACACATGTCCAGAAACTGCCGTACTGTGTCCAGACGGGTCTGTTGATTCTCTTATGACTGTTCACACCAGAATAAACAAGTATTGGAGGAGGTTTTTGTGGTATCCAGAATAATCAACGGCCAGGTAAGTGTCACCAACCGAGGCTGAAAACAATTATCTTGACCTTGATTATCATTACGGATATCTCAAAAACCAAATCTAATAATTTTTTTATTACAAATTGTTTTGAAGAAAATAAGGACAAACATATCGTGGCACGGAACACAGTTTGACATTGCTCTTGGAAATCATGCATTGCAAACGTAACCTACAGATTAGTCAGACAGTTTTTTTCTCGCTTGCGGTGGAAGACTTCGGTGTCGGCATGACGCTGACACATCTTCGGCCGAAGGTTGAAACTACGGACTTGACAGAAACCGGAAACCACGCAAGAGAAGTCTCTGGCGCCCAGGGCCCGGGGGGACTCCGCATATGAAAGCGGTGGGGGTGCTCGTCGTCTCGCTTAGGGGGTCAAAAAAAGCTTGAGCCAATCCCAGATCGGTCTCCTTTAGGGGTCTAATTCAAAAGTTCCGACAAGCATCCCCACCCCTTTCATATGCAGAGTCCCTCCCCCCCCCCCCGGGGCCCAGGGGCACTAAGGGGATTCAACTCTGAATCTCCATATGATTTCTTTTCTTTTATTCCCCTCAGTCTCGGAGCCAAGTTTGAATTAAAATAATTTAAAACTGGCCAACTGGACGGGAACCAGACATGGAAGCGGTAGACCCTAGTTCGACACCCGGCCGGGCCAACACTTGTAGTCTCAAACAATTGAGAACAATGAGCTGGCTTTGTTTCACATTTGCAGATGGCTAGATCTTTAAGTCCTCTCGGATGAGGACAAAAAACCACAGGCCTTGTCTCACAGCACTCTTGTGGGACGTGAAAGAAGCACAATGGAGGTAACAATCTCTGGTAGTGACACCTGCATCTACACCTTTAATCAATAAAGGTTTCCCATGACAGGGAGAGCTCACAGCATTGACGTAAAGGCTAATTATAAATAAATCATAAATATATTAAAATAAACATAAGTGAAAATATGCACATCAAATGTACTCTTGTTGTAACAAATCAAATACATGTAATTAAATTGACCTGGCCAGTTGGCTAACAAATGGCTAGCTTCAGGTAACACGTAAGTTGGAGCCCGTATCTGTTGTGTTAAGGGGTCAAAGTGCTCTAATTTTAAATCTAAATCTAAAATAAATCGAAATAAATAAATAGAAAACAAACTCACCTGCATACAATTTGTGAATGTTACACACACCAGCATCAATTTACTCACAACCTAAAACAATTATCACGATTTGTGTTAATGTAGACGAGGTACATTTTAGCCTCTGGCTATTCATGACACTGTGCCTTGGTATCACCTTGCAATATTTCGTGAAAACGGCAAAAAGCAAGAAATGTACTGAAGAGAAGATTTTCGAGTGAATAAGTGAAAGGTCGGAAATTCGTGGAAACCGAAACAAGCAAAGCGAATAGATTAGTGAAGCTATTCTCCTCTCGTCACGTGCTTTCTGGTATTTAGTTATGTCAATCAAAGACGACTCTCCATAAAGGGAGCATACAGGAAGGAAAACGCATACACCAAGGGTGATTTTAGCATATCTTCACTATGAAGCATACGAAAGGGATTGCCGCGACCGACCTCGATCATCAAAGAATGATTTACACAGATCTTTCTTTGATCCATGTAACCACCGGTGTGTGCAACCAACCCTAAACCCGTGGAAACTGTTCAAATCGCCCCTTGTCAAACCCTTAATGTACTCCCCTTTAGCCAATTATGTGATTGCTCGACTGCATATATATAAACAAATTGAAGACGTTGCTCTCAGATCTACTGCGTTAAGCAGTCACATTTCTCTTAAAGTACACCCCTATAAGACGGACACCTCCTTTACCTGGTCCATGCCATCCCCTGGCCACTCCATAAGCAGGACACCTTTATAAGATGGACGGATTCGATTTAGGTCTCTGGGAAACTGCCCACCTACCCCTCCCCTAAGCCAACATTTTGCCCTAAGTGAGAAGTAACTGTCCATGTTAGCTTACTTCACCTTTAGTAACTCGGGGTTTGTGAGCATGCAGTCTTTAAGACAGCGGTCCAAGAAGTCATTATGATTCTCTAGGACGCCATCGATGTTTGTTACCTGTGAAGGAAATGAAACATTAAACTGCGCAAATCGCCGGATTCGTTGAACCTCTCGGCTTTTCCTAAATTACCTTCGGTAAGCAATTCATTTATGAACAATGAAACTTACCATTCCAAACAAGCCAGGGGCCAATGGCCTGGAGCGAGCATCTTCCATCGTGTCACGGCGTTTTCAGTGACCAGTTAATTTTTAGAACAAACCTGTCAGCAAACCCCACAGACCCAAAAATAGTATTTTAACCTCTTAATGAAGGTTTGTTTTCCTTTTTGATATCGTATACTTTAGACGGAGCGGGGTCTTCATCTCGCGGGAAAAAGAGCTCTACGATGTATCTAAAAATAAACCAGTAGGTGAAAACGCCGTGACATAGGTCTAGTATGGGAATTGCTCACTCTGGTTTATCGGCTCATGACAAGCTAAAGCCATTAAGACGAAGTTCATTTGTGCGTGAAAAATGATACTTGAGAGACGGTTAATTCTTTTCAGTACTCGGAGATAAAGTCACCGATCTCACCGTTTTCAGACTTTTTTCCATTAAATGCCAGCTGGGTTCCAGGACTTCAAACATCATGTAATGCTCATAGGTTTGTACGAAGTGCAACATCCTCTGACGCAGAGCAAATGCTGCCGCATACCTGAGGTCACGTACAATACAGTCACTATCACAAGATTCAGGTAGCAATAAGACAACTGAAGTTTCAAGACATTTATTCTTAGAACATCCACTCTTAGAGTCTTATGTTTCTAGGTCCTGACGCACGATCTCCACTCTATTCTGGTCCACCGATGAAAAGAAGAAACCAAATGGTACTTTTTTGAAACTCGTCAGAATCTCATGTTTACTAACCGAATACTTGAATCCAAAAACAAAAATCAGTTCATTTTCTGCTTGCCGGGGATGATAGTTCGTAAACCATTGGCTGACAGTGAGGGTGGGCATTTTGGATCAACTTAGATTTCTCGGTAACTGACCACCTACCCCTCCCCTAAATCACAATTTTGCCTTACGTGAGAAGTCAGTGTTTATGTTGACTTAGGGGAAGGGTAGGTGGGCAGTTCCCCAGAAAACCTCGATTGATCCCTTCCGGCATTTTATTGTAATTTCATAAAATAGTTCATAAATCTTACCAATGGGAAGAGTTTAGAGTGAACTGCTTTGCTCGCTTGTTGCTGACCCAGACACTGGAAAGGAGGAAAAATACAAAGCCATTTGAAGAATATTTATATTAAAGATGAAACAACAACAACATGATATTAATTTGAGGAGGACTCGGAAAAAAATCCGAGTCCCAGATGGGATTTGAACCCACGACCCTCCGTGATCTAGTCGGATGCTCTAACCACTTGAGCTACTGGAGACTCTATGGTGAGCAAGGGCCAATTTGTGGGTCTCGACTGGAACCGCATCACGCGGCTACACAGCCAAGTAATGATAGGCACACAAGAAGTGAAGAACTCACTAACAGCATCGCGCTGTCACCTTAAAGCATATCCAAGATGCGGCCAACCAACCTCCAAAGTGAGTATATTAAAGATGAAACAACAACAACATGATAACATGATAATTCACCATTAAATATCAAAGGAATGCAAACGCTACGTTCTGTTGCAAAGGAAAACACACTTTCCGCATTCAGTAGCGATGCCTGTTGGTTCTGTCCCTGAACAGTTAATTAACAATGATGGACCTTCCGAGGGCAGCCCAGTGGTCCCAGCGTAATTGCCCTCGACCGAGCGCTCGTCTCAGTTATGCTACAAGCCTACGAGCAAGCTCTCCGGGGCGCTATGGCAGCGGGGTGGGAAAGGAAAGAAGAGCTTGCAATTACGTCTCTGGAATTTGAATTCCATCTCAAATTCCCCTGTGGCTAACCGTCGACTGAGCTTCAGATTTTCGCCAATCAGCGCGAAGCGGAAACGAGCGCGAATGTAAACAAACAATGAAAAACACGTGCCATGGGTAATGACGTCATTTCTAATGTCATCTCCGCCAATCAGCGTTTTGCATCGACTTTTTCGATGCAGATATTCAAATTCCAGAGACGTAGTTGCAAGCTCTCCTTCCTTTTCCCGCGCCACCGCCAGAGCGCCCTGGAGAGCTTACTTGCAGGCTATTATGCTACCGAAATGTCATCCCCGTGAAGGCCAGGGCAAACGCCGTATAAGGTAAAAGGCACAATCTAAGTGAAATCTTTAGAACATCTATATTTTATAATTTTAAAGGCGTCAACATACCTAATGCCGTGAAAAAGCTACATATTTTGTTGTCGTTCAAGCCGTACTAAACCTAACAGGCTCTCTTCCCTCTGCCATCCGATGTTTCCTTACAAAAGAAACTTTGCTGTACTTTGTCTCTCACCACCCTCGTGTATAAGTAATTACATACTGCTGGGGGTAACTCTGTAAGACTGCTAAGTGTTTTTTGCATGCTACCGTTAGGCTACATTGGCCTCCACGCACCCTTGACTAAGTCTCAATGCCCATGCACATCTTACTAACTTACTTGTTTTTAAAATGCCATTTTACGAAATGTATTATGCTAGTTTTCTATGGTCAACTTACTTGCACAATTGTCTTTCTACGTGTCTGGCATAGAACAAATGCCTAAACAACATCTGGTACTTAGTTAAGGCCTTGAAAGAAGAAGAAGAAGAAAAGACATAACATTATTAAGACTGGTTTTCACTCGCGTCGGAGATGTAAGCGGAGTCGTAAGAGCGCTTATGACTCAGTGAAAATCAAGAATCGGAGTCGTAAGCGGAGTCATAAGCGCGACGGAATCGGAGTCGGCAGAATCAGAACGTTTCCTTCTTCATCAGACTCCGCTTCCGTTTCCGTCGTTTACGATCTAGTGAGAACCAGATTGTCGCAGTCGGAAGCATAAGCGGAAGAATAAACCAATCACAATATGTACGTTCCCACGCTTTGTGATTGGTTTAGTTCTTCTGCTTCTGCTTGCGACTCCGACAACCCAGTTTTCACCAGATCGTAAGCGACGGAGTCGTAAGCGGAATCAGAACGTTGTATTCACTAGATCGTAAAGTTCTACCCTTCCGATTACGACTCCGACTCGCTAGTGAAAACCAGCCTTTAACCGTTATGGAGGGAGTAAGTCAAGTTACAGATTTCTCTGTCAAAGTAAAAGGTATGAAATTCTCACCTTCTTACTTAAAATTAATGACACAGGCCACTTCACCACGTAATCGAATGAAAATGCTTCAAGTCCTACATACATCAGTGCGATAATTAGTTTCATCAACAACTGTTGCATAAACAGGGTTCCACCAGTCCAGCAGACATGTTATAACAAGGTGTTGAACAGATAACAAAATATCGACATCTAACCTGAAATCTGGAGTTCAGTAGGATCTTGATTATAAGATGTTGCACCTGAAAAATACATTGTTACTTCAAGCTCAACTGTTAAATGGTGCTTATAATGTTTAATATTATTCATCCAAGATAATTCTCCCTTTCCAATTGGTTCAAATCCCGCCGCTAATTCCGGCTGGCGTTGACAAAATTTGGAAGACGTTTGGAAAACCCGGTAAATATGACGTCAATAGTACAGGGTATCGCTAAAAAAAGGAACGACAACCGAGAAATGTGATGTCAAGGTACATGTAATTCCAGACATTTTTACTGATCATTTCCAACGAAGGATGAAAACTGGCTATTTTTTAATAGTGCATTACTTCAGTAATATTGACGAATGAACCGGATCCTAGCTCTGGTGATATATTATCCACAATCTATGCCTTATCTGAGCTACTTCCCTAGGATCACACTCGAGCTGCACAATTGTTAGACCACCACACAAAGAACGCCTATATATAAATGGCAAGCTAAACCTAGTATAACTGCTACCTTATGCTATGTTACGGCACAGTTCATATTATATTACCTCTGCTGTCATAGGCGACAGACAAAATACGAAACAGTTGAGTGATCAGATCATAGGGAAGCAAATCAACTCTGTTAAAACAACAAGGGGAAAAAACATGTTACAAACTGTGCAAGACAAAAACAATCACACAGACGAAAACTAAATTATACCTAAGCTGCATGTTTTTTTAGCTTCAAATAAACAAACAAATAATGGTCAATAATCCAGTTCCAGATTATCGCTGGAATTTTTTGGCAAGCATTCAGTTAGAATTTTTGGTTGAGAAAAAGACAAGTGAGACGTTCCAGCAATTGACAATAGCAACGGTGTATCCCAAACCCCAGTCACCCACTAAACACGAAATACCCAAGCCAACCGACATGCAGTTTCCAGTTTTTGTAACACTATTATAGGCCTCATTATCCAGACCACATAAAAATGATTCTCCAGACTGATTTTCACACATTTCCTTAAGGAATTAGCTGAGAGAAAAAGATAAAGATCAAAGCTTATTCCTTTTGTGCACACTTTTCTACTTCACATAGCCTTTTCTCTTGAACTTGTGTAGATGTTACAGGTCAAAATTAAATTCAGGTTAAAATTTTTTAACCTAGGTCGATTCTCACTTTTCTCTGTTTCCTAATCTTAATTCATGAATAATTAGGGCTGGAGACAAAGGAAATTGAGAATCAACCTAGGTTAAAAATTTTAACCTGGATTTTATTTTGACCTGCAACACAGATATCAGTATTGTTAGGAGAAGGTTGATGTTAGTCACAAGGTTTTAAACGTTAAATAAAGAAGGCGTGTTTCACTTCCTATCCATTGTATTACTCCCTCTAAACGACTTAAATTAATGACAACAAACGCACATTGACAAAACTAATCTACAATGTAAAGCTCATGGACTAAGAACGTCTAGTTTATCAGGTCTACACCCCAAATTTGCACCTGTAGCTTACCTCAAGTCATCCTTGTACGGATCACTATTGGCCGTGCTTGTTCTTAATGCTAACTCTAACAGGTTCTCTAGTCTGGAAGGCATAATATCTAAGAAATCATAGATTAAGGAGAATTAAATAATATTAAACATTTGGATTAAATCAGCCCCATAAATGAAATAATTTAAAAAGCACGCAATACGTAACAAGGCGTCAGAAGATGGTCAACTTCTCACGAGTTAAGACCAATAATAATAATAATAATAATATTATTATTATTATTATTACTATTATTTAATGATTTGTATTGCATAGTTAACAATCCAAAAATTTTCATCGGCCCATTTCATAATTCTTCAAAATCCTCCTACAGTCAAACCTCTTTAGTACGGACACCAAAGGGACAGAACCAAGTGTCCGCTTTACAGAGGTGTCCGTATTATAGAGGTAGGGAATGTGTGATTTTTGGCACTCTGGGACCAAACGAACTGTCCGTAATAGAGAGGTGTCCGTAAGGAGAGGTTAGACTGTATTAAAGAAGCTTCATTTACATAACATAAAATATATTCCAGTACCAGAGCTCAAAGTTTAAATTTGAGTTTGGGAGCACTTGTGCTACCAGATGTAAATTTTTAGGCGCACTGCCGAAATTTTAGGCGCACAGCTGAGAATTTTAGGAGCCCAGCTTATAATGTTGGGAGCATCTATTTCAAAAGAAAAAATAAAAAGCTTAACAGTGCCACGTTTATTTGTCATCTTCAGTTTGTTACTTTTACTTCAGTCCTGTGACTGATAAAACACAGCCGATTTGTTACGCAGTAATACCGTTGTGATTTTTCATACTAATTTCTCCTTTTGACAGTACAGTTGTGACCAAAGAAAACTTACACTTGAAAAACAATTCAAAACTGACAACAATGAGTGTGTCGAACGAGAATGAAAATTAATCTTTAATGAATTTGTTAAATACGCAATGACTTACATGTAACTGGAATACGACTTAAAAACTTTCTTACCTGGAAAAAAAGGCTCTTAATCCGCACTATTTTTGTTTTGATTGACGTTAAAACTGAAGGTTCAACATGATCGTCCATTGCGCAAAAAGTACGGTTTTCGTTCGTAACATATATCTGCGTGTGTCACCGGTGTTTTACTTTATTACAAAACAAAAGAGTCTGGAATGGAGTAAAACATCGAAACGAAAAAGAACATTTGAGTTCGTAGAATCCATTGGGAGAAAAGACCAATTAAACATACACCGTCTCAGTTCTAGTTCGAGTTCGTAAGTATAGTCGGAAGTAAGTCAGTCGCACTGTGCTTTGGGTTTTACGGCGCACAGGTGCGATTACACATGAATTTTTAGGCGCACAAGCAAAAATCCAGTCGCATATGCGACCAGTTAGTCGCTAACTTTGAGCCCTGAGTACACATTCTAATTCTAAAAACAATGACTAATTATTCCTTAAAATCCCCGTAATTCCCACGGCAATCAAACCCGTGATGACCTTCGTGTGATGAGTGGTTAGTCACCATAATCTTCGGATTGAATATACACTACTAGGGCGCTTACGTTTAATCAGAACAGTCTGGTAAGACCAGTCCAATCTCAACGAGAATTCCACTATTAATCACGACTATCCAGGCACATTGGTTTATTGGTAAATGGTATGCACGGATCTGAAGTAACAAATTTCGAGAAAAGAATAATACTGTATTTCATTTTCAAATGACCGTCCGGCCGTCCAGTTCTGACTTTTGGAAGGCGCACTAAGCAAAGTTTTGCACCTGTATCTTTCAACAGAAGCAAAATTATTGTTAACTACAACGTGTGTTAGTTCAATGCTTAACCATGGATAAAGCCATAGGTTCACTGGGTATGTGCAATTATGTAGGTAGGGAATAGAACAGCTGGGAAGATGTTTTGGATTTATTTTCTATAAAAATAGCTGGGGGTCATGGTCATAGTGGACGGGGGATAGCCCGGGGGAAATCCCCGGCCCCCAGTGACAGCCCATTGGATGACCATGTCAAACTGATACAAAAGAAGATCATGTACCCTGCATTGTACTAGACTACGGCAGACACCAGCTTAAATAAGTAATAAACAAAGAAATCAGTTATCTAGTTAAACACAATGAGGTCAGAAAGGATACCATCCATATTTTTCTTCATCTCATCCTCGGCTAGATCCATGAACTGAACAAAGAAATCTCCAAGATCCATGAGAAAGTAATGCTTGATAGACCTAGAGAGTTACAGCTCTTCTTCAGTATCTGTGGCGGTGTATGTGCTTCGTGGCTGAATGCCATTAAGTCTTTCACCCCACATGACCCCAAATAGATGTGTGAACAGAGACTTCAGTAGCTGCCCTGTGGTGGTCTCCTACAGCCGTTTTTGTCCCGTCACACAATGCTCCGCCCGAGGCGGAGGAACGTCGCTTCACGAGACAAACAGGCGACTACTTATGTGGCCGTGAAAATGGTAAGCCAAGGAATAGAAAAAGGTTGCCGAAAACTACCGCACAGGTTGTCGAAACGTCAGTCACTGTCAACAACAGGTCCTATTCAGGAATACAATCTCCCGAAATATCAAATTACGCCTTATGACAGAGTTATAGTTAAAAAAAAAACATTTACCATTTTCCACACTTTATCTTCACTTCCTAGTCTTTTTCGAAGTCTGGAAGTCAAGACTTTGCAATAATGCCGAACTTCGTAAGAACCCTCGTTGCAGCTCGTTCACGTTGTTAAATGATCGAGCAACCTAAGGATTGCTTTTTGTTGTCCGTCAACATGTGGAAGAGTCCAAATGTTGTTCAACTTGTCCTTACTTCTTAAGGTGGATTTCCACAATCCACCACACACGCATGTAAATTTTATGCGCGAAATAAAAAAAGGGGCGATGTATGAAGTGTCGCGCGAATTCCGTAAATGTAAAAGTTGAGCGAGGTTTATTTTCTACCATTTATGCGCGACCTTTCATAAATTGCCTCCTTTTCATTTGCAAGCGTAAAATTTACGCGCGTTCGCACGTAAAAAGTACGCGACAGTGGAAATCCACCCTTTAACTACCCTTCAGGTCCAGGCCAGTGGCTACAAACTTACCGCATTTCAAATCACAACGTTCGTGAATCTTGTGCTGATTCGCAGTTCGGACCAAAAAGGTTACACAGTCCTAAACCTTTGCTTTCGCATATACCTATGTGTAGCCTAAATAAATGACTCCTTCCCTCTGCAACCAATAAGTGCGTGAACATTTCTACAGCTATCGCACAAAAACGTTTTATAGGACCAACCTCTCGAAAGAAACAAAATAAGCAAAAGAAACCGAAAACTTCACAAGAATCCTTCATTCTTACCTTAATCTAGCCATCAGTGCCCGGTCATCCATTAGCAGGTCTAGTAAGGTCTTGCTTGCGTAACTGTAGGCTTTTTCAATTTTTTCCACATATTCTCTCTCATGAAGGGTATAAATTATTTCGTCAGCATTAGGACACTGCACATTTTGACCTAAATAAATAAATAAGTAAATGGTAAACTTTCTCAAACGTGAACTTAACTGTGTATTTACAATTTTAATTCAAAACCATTTTTTAAGTTTCAAAACCTTTTCTTTTAAGAGATCCATTAACAGAGCTTTTGTTCGGAATGTACTAAAACTTTCCTTTCCCCAGTGCCTGAAGTCACATGTAAGAGGCATTCTACATTGTCATTTAACTACGTTCTATGTTCAAGAAATTTTGTCCTTTCTCACAACATAAATGACCGTCGAATCCGATGCGAGATAAAATAATATATTACTAACATTTGCCATTCCAGTTTGTTCCTCAATCCTGTACTTCATTTTCAGGAACATGTAGGCTAATCTATTTAATCAATTTAATTTTCCTTCTTGACTCATTCACCCACGCACCCACGTGTCATCAACGGGGAACGACCGAATAACAGTTGGGAGGTGTGCCAGTGCCGCCATTTTATTAAACACTGTGATTCACTTCGTTAGTCGAGCGAACAAAATATGTTGACTGCTTATAAGCTTACCACATTGCCGAATGACATTTAAATATTTTCCAGTACTGAGAATCTTGTGGGCAACCTGGAAAACAATAAAGAATTGAAACATCTGAGGGACAGCATCTTAAGTATTGAGTCCATATTGAGTCCAATAGTCTCGCATTGCATCAAAGGTATTTCCGTATGATCGACTCGATCGCCCCGAGTCTGGGACGAATGTAGTGAAACCAGCCTATATACAAACTTCAGTTCATACAGGCGATTGCGATCCCCTCCCCAGTCGCCTGCATCGTTTCTCATTACATTTGAGGTGATTTCTTATAATCTTTTTAACAGTCTGTAGCTAGTTGCGTGGATTGTCTGAACACAGTTTAAGACGACTCCGGCGATCGACATATGATGATCCGGACGATTATATGGAAATGAAGCTAAAGGAAACAGGATTACGACTAGGCATCTAAAGGCACCTTTAGCAGGCTTATTCTACTCTCTCCTGACTTGAATGAGATGGTTTGAACACACTTTCAGCATGATCGAATTTGGTGACAGGCTAACAAAGCAGCTATTGTATGGTTATCCCAGTATGAGGGAATAAGTTCTTTTCCGTCCTCTACTACAACTGAAGGGTACCTAGAAAGGAGACCGTATGTCCACACAAAATGAAACAGGTTAACAGGAATATTTGTTTGAATTAATAGTAAAAATTTACCTTTTCCAAGAAAATAGGAATGTTTTCTCTGACAACTGTATATCGTTGTTCCCAATATGTAACAGAAGTCAAGGAAAATAATTCTGTTTAATACTGTAGTAATAAGACTTACGCCACGTCTATATAAAGAAAACTTGTCCTGAGCTAGCCTGGGCGAGCAAACTTTTCCTACATTTCCTTGCAAAATTTGGTAAACCGTTTACATCAGCTCGGCTAAACGGGTAACCCGCCAAGCAGGGTCACACTTTTCAATGGTAGGGTCCCTCTCTTAGCCAGGCCAACTTTTCTCCCTATAAACACTTTAGCTCGCTCAGCCGGGGCAGCTCGGTCAAGGAGAGACAATCAGAGCATGCGCGAGCGCTGTTGTAAGCTCTTAGCTCAGGCAAGGGGGGCAACTTTATCTCATATAAACGCTTCTAAAGCTGACCGAGCTGGGAGGGTGACTCTCTTTCCGGGGACAACTTTTTTCCATAAAAAGGGAGACTATTGTCTATCCATAAGAAAGAGAGGAATATCAAAGGATATGCATCATTGTAATCTTCAGTGAGCTTCTCTTTTTGAACAGAGCCGTGCTCTGCAACCAGGAACTGAAAGGACGAGAAAAAGTAATTACACAAAAACATGTGGCTAAAACAATATAGAGCATTTTCCAGAAATTCTCACCTCAGAATACGGATCGCTGATAATTCCTTTGTAAATCCACTGCTCAAGGATATCAAAGTAGGGAACACATGCCTGTAATAAGACATTAAGGTAACTGCGCAAACAATATTCACATACACAAAAGTAAGTTCTTGGTTAAGGAAATATAGTAAAGATACAAAAATTGGGGCTTGAAAAATTGCCGCATACTGCAGGGTAGTGTTTTTTTTTTAGGAACGTGAGTGTCAGTATTCCCTGAGTAGATGTCATATCACAGGCGGACCATCCAAACTGTTCGAGGCATCGTGATGTCACGCGCGACATGTGATCTTCGCTCTCAGCTTGATTCAAGTGATCGGGAGAAATGCTTCATAAAACACAGCCGAGAGCGGCCGTTACAAAAAAATTAAATGTATGAGATCAAACGTCGTAAGTGACATCACCATGCCTCGAACAGTTTGGATGGTCCGCCTGTGGTCAGAGAATTGAAACAATCAAGACAGAGGGTAGGAGGAAGAGGAAAAGAAGATTCCGTACCCTGCCACCCATAAGAAAGGGGGTAGGAGGAAGAGGAAAAGAAGATTCCGTACCCTGTCACCCATAAGACAGGGGGTAGGAGGAAGAGGAAAAGAAGATTCCGTACCCTGTCACCCATAAGACAGGGGGTAGGAGGAAGAGGAAAAGAAGATTCCGTACCCAGTCACCCATAAGACAGGGGGTAGGAGGAAGAGGAAAAGAAGATTCTGTAACCCTGCCTCCCATAAGACAGGAGGTAGGAGAAGGGCAAAAGGAGATTCCTTAACCCTTTCATGTCTAGAACTAGTTATACCAAGATCAGTTGTCATTCTAACTTTTAAATCTGTGGACGAAATCCGAGGGTGTGACCATTCAAATAAAACCACTTTAGCACTTTCACACTGTACCATTTGTTTGACTACATTTTACAGAATAAAATGTGGAAATTTTGTTGAATTTTGACTTTTTCACCACCCTTGGGAGTGAAAGGGTCAACTGTCTTGCCTGCCCGCTTGTCTGTTTACGCCAGGATTCTTTTTGGTTCCACATGCCACAAATGCCTCCTGCGGATAAAGCCAGCTGTACAGGCTACTCTTTCTAACAGGTGATTAGTTACTTCTTAGCCCCTTTCACAATACAATGATATGGCATAATTATTTGTCATGATTCTAACTTTTGAATCTGTGGACAAAATTCTATGGTGTTACCATTCAAACGAAATCTCTTTGGCAGAACTTTTGCATTGTACTTGTTTATTTCAAAAAGAAATTTGAATTCTTTTGGTGATTTGTTCTGGCCTCTATCAGGAGAGTAGGGTAAACACTGTCAAAACGCCTTTATCAAGTAAAAGATGCAAATAAAAACGGATCAATTTAGGATTCTGGGAAAATGCCCACATACCCCTCCCTAAGCCAACATTTTTCCCTAAGTGGGAGGTAAGTGATAATGTTGGTTTAGGGGAGGGGTAGGTGAGCAGTTTCCCAGAAACCTAAATTGATCCATAAAAACTTGTACTACTCACAGCTTGAGTGAGGAACAAGCACAGATCCTGGGATTTGCTGTCCCTGTAGAAGGTACATATGAAGTTCAATTCAACCTTGTTGAACAGTGTGTTACAAATTAGAACGAGGAAGCAAAAAAAATCTTACCCTGTATATCCCACAGTTTTTTCATGCAATAATGTCAGCACAGCTCCCCCTTTGCAGCTTCCCTGATGAGATAATTTGATGAATATACAATTAAGAAAAATTGTGAATGACACCACTCTAGCATCAAATGATTTAACTCTCAGATGTGACCGTAGAATAGGGGAGGTCGGGCCAATGATACTGGGCAATAAAAATGAATCCACAAAAACAAGAAGTGGATTACACAAATTATTGCTGAAGGTTTTGGAGACTGTGGAGGAGTACATGTTGATATAAGCTCTATTTAATTACTATTTTATACCTTAACTCTTTAATCAGTTAAATTTTTCTCGTTTCTTAGGATTTACAGTTTCTTTCACCATGGTTGGTAAAAGGGACTTGGTACGAAAGGTGGCAAACATCAAATTTAAAAACAACGATGCTGCAGTTTATGTTGGAAGCTCCCTGATGTGTACAATCCTTTATTTTGTGTTCACAAATTGTGACTGAATAAATCAATGCAATGTCTTTATTGGTCAATAAGACCAAAATGAAAGGACTGCTGTTCCCCACTCTAGAAACTACAAGGGAAATGGGTATAAGCTCTCGGCGCAACAGCTTGTGATTGGTTAATGGTTGCCTTGAGTACCATCAACCAATCAAAACTATTGCTTGTCCTCCCAAAGGATCCCAGAAATGGTTAAACCGAAAGCTTGTACCCATTTCCCTTATAGTTTCTGGAATGGGGAATTGAATATTGTGCTCCATCAGGTTTACTTAAGCAATAGACCACACTTTCTATGGGTTTACCGGCGTGATAACCCACGCGGGATGTTGGGAGAACCTTCATCGTCGTGAAATGTAAACTGCTTTCCAGCTTTGTACTTTATAACTTCTATGGCAGTAGCGAATTGTGACGCTCAGTAATAAAATGTGGAAACCAACGCTTTTAATATTTAGAAGGGCTGGGTAAGTAACTTGTTCTGTCTTTTAGCCTTTCTAAAATCGTTGTTTGCAGATCAATAGCCAGTTTTGTTAATGGCTCGTGGTCCGGATGCCTTTTTCTATGGGTTTACCGGTATAATAAACCATAGGTTTTTGACCAATCAGATCACGCGTACTATCTCAGTTATTTTATAAAAAAAAAAATTAACAAAGGAGTCTGACGGGCTTTAAAACCATTACACAGTGCTAACTATGCTATCAATAATAAATCTTTCTTCGGTATTACTTAAGGTATCCACTTTCTACTAATATTATTTTACTTGTTACCTTACTAGCTTTTCTCTTTATTCATTTTCTTTTCTTTCCTGGCTTTTGTTTTATTATAACTGACCTTTATTGTAAAGTCACCCACCCCGAATAGCCTTGATTATTGTGTGGGTGAAATAATTGTAAACTATTTATACAGATAAATAAATTGTTATTGGTTTTGTTAGTGGTATTTTACACTTACCGGCTCAATACAGTAAGGGGGTGGGAATAGATATTCAACAGTTTTTTCAATTTTTGACATGGACAAGTTAGGGAAAATCCATCAACTAAATTTTCAAAATTTTGTGGACCTACATCATCGCTCAGTAATAAAACGTATCACTTTCAAACTAGACAAGTTCACTTATTTTAAGGCGCTTTTACCAGTGGTGTCAACGGATTTTCTGTAACTGGTTCTTCTTGGCCACGTTACCTGGTTTAAAGTGTTATAATACTGTACCTTATCAATTGCCACTGCAATGGATGAGAGAATCGCCATAGTTCTCATGCAAGGTTGGATGTAAAACCACAACTTTTGTAGTGACAGCTGTCCCTATAAAATAGTAAAGACAGAAGAAGCTGCTTTATAAACAGGCAAAAATTTTTCATAATGGTCCTAAATCCAAGCAAATGAAATTTTGCACTTTCTAGTGGCCATATACACAGGGGAACCCAATTCTGAAAAATATCTGTCTGGAGAAGCAAATAATGCCTAGAATTTTCTATTACTTGAGGATCGTAAAAATTTCTAGATGACCATTCCATCCACGTACAATTTTCGACGCTTATCCAGTAAATTCGCTATGATTTTCTGAAGTTTAATTTTTAACATTTCACTCCCCAACTTAGGCTATTTAAGGCTAAACCTAAAATTTTCTGATTCAAAAATGTGACGAAGAGAGGAATCAAAAAAAATCTCACTTTCGTAATGTGTTAAATTGCATCTAAAATTTCCGGGAAAATGATACTGACGCCCTTGTTATTTCGAAAAGACTCAAGTTCCCCTAGGATGACCAGACAGATAAAAATTTTACAGCAGTGCTTATGATGTGAAAGTACTTTGGAAAGGCTAAAAAGTGTTTTTAACGCATTTAGGAGGAAATCATCGTTGGGTGCCCCTGGTATACAGTGAACTCTCTCATTAGGGACATCTTCATGAGGGGATTAAGAGAAGATGGACAACTTCCAAAAACGGACCCCTAGATTACGTCCCCGCTGTTCCTCAACCGATGTCTTTAGCCTCTTGAGTCCCAAGAAAGCAAAACACCTTTTTTGCCTAACACCATATCAATACATAATCAAGAAAAAATTTAAGAGGTTTTCACTTAATGGAAATTTCTTTGAGCTTTTATCAACTTCTCTTGACTAATTTTTAAGAAAATGTATGTACAGCTGCAGACCAGTCTGGAGAATTTGTATGTGGATATTGGGGGCTTAAACTGCATTAACTCTCTATAAGAAAGAAACATCTCCAAGAACACTAAGTGCCAGTCACACTGATATACATCTTAGAAACTTAGAGTTGACTGTATCTCCTTAAATAATCATATTATCACTAACAGAAATCTAAAACCATAGATTAAAACTCCATTTGTATTTAGCACAATTTCTCTGTACACTTTTTGTCCATCTGCCGTTCTCCTTATTAATGCTTTGATTTACCATCCTTAAGTCTTTAATTATGTTATGCTTTACATGACATAATAGTCCAGTTTTGATTTTGTCGCAACCACTGAATACAAACACTGTAGACTCATTTATACATAGTTATAGCCTCGACCTAAGGGTAAATATAATTAATTATTTACAAATTCCAGTCAGAAGAAGACCTGTGTACAACTGTGTCTATTGTTTTTAACTCAAATTCAGGCACCTTCTCGCTGGTATTTGTGAATATTTACTTTAGGTCGATAGGGCTAACGCTGTACAAACGAGTCTTCTGTGCTTCTATTCAACGGTCACGATAAATTCGAAACTGGACTATTGCTACCATTATAATCACTTACTAGCCTAAACTGATGCTCCAGTTGTGCAACAAGAATGAGATATTCCTTTCAAAACAAAACAAAATCATTACAGAATGAGCAAAAGAAATGAAAGCTCACTAACATAAAAACAGGTATCTGTTCTGCTGAACAGTCCGTTCAAGTATTTGAGTCAAATATGTGCCACGCCACCTTGTTCCAGTTTATGTTACACGGGCTTTGTTTAAATTTGAAATGATGCATGTACTTTTGTTTATGCGAGCTGCGCTATTCAAAGTCATGCAGAGAGCGTGGGGTTCAGTTCTTAGACTCATTTAAGCTGACCAGTTGCTAACCCATTTGTTGATAACCAGAAGTTGTTAACCGGAAAACCAGACTGTATAAAATATGAACTGTTTTGTCTAAATACGGAGGCCGTCATAGAAGCAAACGTACAGTCAATTTTGTTGCTGTTTTAGGTTACTTTCCGTCATTTTCTACATTGTAAGTCGAAGTGCCAATGGACTAGTTTACTTTAATTTTACATCGAACTGTACATGTAAAATATGATTCTTCCTTCGTATTTGAACTATCTGGCGTCTTTGGTCATTGGAACAGTATCATTATGACCAGCAATGATGACCCATTTTAGGCTAGACAATAAAATTAATTCTATTCAATTTCACAAACCTATCTATTCTTTTAAATCATTTGTTCCTTGCTTATGGTAATTTGTTTAGATATAATCTAAGTTGACAGTAAGAATAATACTCAGTCTTATAATCAAGTCTATGAGCAGTCCCTCTTCTTGATAGCCTCTTGAGTGAGGCCCATGGGTAAAAAAAATTTCTTTTATTTAATTTAATTTATTATAGCAAAAATAAACACACACAAAAAAATACAATAATTGTCAAATTTACAGAAGTTATTAATATGTAACAGTATTTACTATCTGCATGGGTAGAAAATTGCCGCAGTGCAACTGGAGAGTTGAGAAAAGTGGAGCGTTTCTTTTGGCTCATGATCAAGGCCTTACTTTTTGTCACTTGAGTATAAACTTCCTCACAATCTTTTATGGTGCCAAAAATAATATTGGAGCTCTGTAGGGTACTGGTACATATGACATTCAAAATCAGCCTTGGAACTAAAATTGTGCACCTTGATCATGTTAGTGATAAAAATCAGCATTCTAACCTTGAGTAATGTCTTCATTGCTGCACACAAGGCATGATTAACAATGCCATGCTCAAATGATGACTTGCCTGGAAAAAAAGTAAAAAATTCTTATTAACCCATTCGCCCCTGAACCGCCCGTAACCGCCCGTGCGGATCCAGGTCCTTTCTACCCTTTGTGACGTCATCAGTTTTAACGGTCAAGGACAACTTTCTTCGCACACGTGTGCAGAGTGAAGAGATCTTTCAAACCATACCAGAATGAGCACAATTCAGTCAAGGACACCGGAGAAAGAAGCAAAAAACCACGTGACAAGGACCTGAAAATCTCCATGAAAATCTTGTTCCATTACCCACCTACCTTTCCTTTCACCTAATCCTAAGATCCTAAAAGCTTTCCTAAAAACTCTTCCCACCAAAATGAAGCCTACTAAATGCCCAGCAAGAGAAAAAAAAAATGAGGCAAGAAAAGCGAAAAAAGAAGGGAGGAGAGAAAGCGAAAAGTAAAAGTCAAGACTGCTGTGTCACTTTTAAACCCAAAAACTATCTCGAAATTTGGCTTTCTGCGCATGCCCGAACTTCGCAAGCTGACATTTTGCATCTGGATCAGAAGGCCGCCAAGTGTACGACCTGTAAACCGGTTTGTGGTAAGTTTTAGCTCTTTATAGCACGACAGTGACCAGAAAACCACTCGACTAGCTTCAAAACGCGTTTTTCGGCAAAATCTCCAGGAGCGAATGGGTTAAAAATATTGTACCAACACTTTATATTCTATTATGCAGGATAAAAGACACTTGTGTATATGATTCAGTTGTACATGTATTAGTGACTGCTACAGGCTGTGTTTGATTTTGTCATGTTTGGTATCCTGGCATAATAATAATAAGTTATTAGTCACGCTTGCTTTAACAGCAAGACTCCAGAGATGAAATGCAAGTTTTTTTCTTGTGTGCACCGCCAAAAGAGGATCATGGTCCCCGGCATTCCTAGCAGAGGCCATGGAAACTGGGGATAAGAATCGTGACCGACAACATATTCAGAGCACGTTTGTATAATTTGTGAAGAAAGCTTAGGAAAGGTTAATGCGAAAGATGTCAAGCTTTTCCAGAAAGGGTCACTCCACAAACCCTATTGCTTGAAAGCAGTTATCACTTTGAAACAGGTGAATACTTCAGTGGTAAAAAAAAAATGAAGAATCTTAATGAGAACAGCAGACTGGTCAGGTGTTGTAAACTTTCATTGTATGCGACTAAGTCTTGATTTGAGCATGCTGTTATTTTCAGCGACGACTGATCTGATGCGCCATGTTCATCATGTTTTTGCTCTCTGGCAATAATGTAATTTCTGTGGAATCGAGGCACTTGATTTTCATGTATTTATACACCCGTACTCAATCAGTTCAGAAACAAATTGTCGAATACGATATAAAAAGTAAATATCCTAGAGAATACTTGAACTTCAATAAAGTTGGACGTGACAAACTTTCAGCAAGGAAATCCTGTTTTGTGTAGAATTAATTGCCCCCTTATTTCTTGTGACAATATACTGTTGCATGTTCTCAAGTAACAACATGCTGTTTGACATTTGAGTATGTAATCGGACAATCAGAGACTATTGCGTTGCATGTACGTTGTGCTTGTATGTTTGAAATGCATGAAATTGTGATTAAAATGAATCTTTAAACAGGAGAAGTGGGATTAGAATGACGTAGTTGATTGAAGTAACCCAAGCAATACATCCAGTCGAGAAGCAAGTCAGGAAAACGAATTTACCGGCGACATGCCAAATCCCGGAGAGACACAAGCAGAAGCGTCAACAGCGAGCTAAGCACGTGTTGGACAGCTACGTGCGCCCGAAAAGCTGGATTTTGAAGCTGACGATCTTCCCCTCAGGTGGAAAAGATGGAAAGAAGAAATCACCTTATACATGGATCTCGCCATGGCTGGTAAGCCTGAAGACGTGAAGGTAAAACTGTTCCTTTATCTTATTGGGACAGGGGGCCGTTAAGTCTATAAAACCTTACCTTTTGCCACTGCACCCAGCGATCGAACCCTTGCTTAAGTTATTAAAGCCTTTGATAAGCGATGCGATCCAAAGAAAAGCGAGACAGTAGAGAGATATAAGTTCTTTACACGGATTCAGGAACAGGGAGAGTCCTTTGAAAAGTTCATTACAGAATTGCAAATCTTGGCAGCGACATGTAAAATTGACACTCTCCATGATTCACTCTTGCATGACCACATAATATGTGGTATATTAGACTCGCACTTGAGGGAGGAGCTATTGAAGGAACAAAACCTAGACTTAGCTAAACGTATACAGATCTGTCTGGCCGCTGAGCTCTCAAAAGAACGAATGAAGAATCGATTCACAGTTTAAAGAATAAAAGATCATCCCGTTATAGCAATCGCAAGAGTGCATCAAATGTCACAGGCAGGCAAAGACAAAACAAACAGCCATGCAAATACCGCCGGGATTGTCACGAACTGGGAAACTCTCCGGCGTATGGCAAAACGTATTCCAACAGCAACAATATATATATTACTTCGCAGCTGTCTGTCTCTCAAGGCCCAAGAAGGAGAGTGTTTGTCAACTTCAAACAGGACATGCAGAGTACAGCGACGTTGAAAGCAATTATGATGACCTAAATGTCCTCGTACTGACACTCGAGCTGCAAACGAATGCTGTAACAGACCAACAATACCCACGAAAGTTGTTTGCCACGTTGGTTCTTGGGGAAAAGCGTGTGGAATTTCAGATAGATAGCGGAGTGACATGTAATATCATTACACATTAGGCCTCCTTGACAAATGTCTGGGCAAATGCGAACTTCAAACAACTACTCGAGTTCTCACAATGTACAACAAGTCTACAGAGATGCCCACAGGCCGCTGTACAGTTGCAGTGATGAATCCAAAGAATAACAAGTCCTATGAAACAGAGTTCGTAGTCATAGCTAATAATCATTGCCCCCCACACCTGGGTAATCCATCCAGTCAACAGATGGAACTCCAAGTGAAACACGAAAACATTTAAGCAGTAAGACAGACAGAGAAGGAAAACCGTGCATTCTTAACCAAAGACACACTGCTGCAACAGTATCTGGACATATTCAATGGCACTGGCGAGATTGATGAAAAATATCACTTGGATAGAGGAGGGAGGTGTACCAGTTGTTCACCCACCTAGGAGGGTCCCTTTTGCACTTTTAAGTGCAAAAAAGCCCTTACTGAAGGATGAGCTTAGGAAGCTGCAAGAAATCGAGATAATAGCGTCAATAACTGGGCCTACCCCATGGGTCTCTAGTATGGTGACAGTCAAAAGGCCCAACGGCCAACTGCGAATCTGCCTAGACCCAAAGGACCTAAACAGAGTAGTGAAACGCAGCCACTACCCATTGCCTATGATGGAAGAGTTACTCCCCCAACAGACCAAAGCAAAAGTCGTCAGTACCTTTGACATAAAAAATGGATTCTGGCACATCCAACTGGTTGAAGCAAGTTCAAAACTCACAACCTTCAACACGTCTTTTTGGAGATACAGATGGCTTCACTTGCCATTCAGGCTGTCTTCTGCGCTGGAAGTCTTCCAAAGACAAAGGAGAAATTATTACTGTCAGTCCTACATTCCACTGGAAAAAACCCAATAACAACATTCAAACAGATATTCTGTATCTGGACTTTGCCAAAGCATTTGATTCTGTGGACCACGCCATCCTCCTTGAGAAGCTTGAGAAATATGGAGTAGCTGGACATTTACATGATTGGTTCAAGAACTATCTGGAGGACCGTCAGCAAAGAGTAATTGTAAATGGATTTACCTCCAGTTGGGCCCCTGCAACCTCCGGAGTGCCTCAAGGAAGTCGGCTTGGTCCAGTACTCTTCATCATCTTTATCAACCACCTGCCAAGTGCCTTGCCTGATGGCACTCTGACAGCCCTTTACGCAAACAAAACCAATTCAAGCTGTTTAGAAATTTCTTATCATATCTACAATGATGCAGATAAATTGCAGCAAGCCTAACAAACCTGGATTCCTGGAGTCTTCACAATAACATTAATTTCAGCGCATCATAGTGCAAGGTCTTAACAGTGACACGAAAGAAAAACCCAGTGCGCTATGACTACCGCCTTGGCCACCTTGACCTACAACGCGTGAATGAGGAGAAAGATCTCGGTGTCATGATAACAAGCAGATTAACGTGGGAAACTCAAGTTCTCATGGTTACTGGTAAAGCGAATAAGCTACTCGGTCTTCTTCGCCTTCAACCCTCAGACGCACTATCCTTGAGTGAATTCATTCAGCCCATATTGGGATCGAAGGCTGCCTTAGAGGAGCCAGGGAATGTTTGTATTGGCTGAGCATGAGTAGTGCTATTAAGGATTATATGGACAAATGCAGCATCTACCATTCCTTTGACAGCAAGCAAGCAAAAGAAACGCTGCATTCTCATCAAGTGCCAAGTAGACCGTGGGTGAAAATTGGGACAGACCTCTTCAGCTGGATTATTACTCTGGATTCTGGAAAGTTGATGCACTGCCAGACACTGCATCTTGTACTGTCATAAACAAGCTTAAAGCCCACTTCGCATGCTATGGTATTCTGGATGTGTACACCTCCGACAATGGACCTCAGTTTCAAAGCGTTTAGTAATAAACTGGAATTTGAGCACAAGACATCTTCACCAGGGTATCCACAAAGCAAAGGGAAGGCAGAGCAAGCTGTCAAAGCAGCCAAGACCTTGATGAAGAAGGCAAAGAAAGCTGGAACAGATCCATGCCTTTCACTCTTGTCACACAGAAACACACCTACCCAAGGGCTCGACTCAAGCCCTGTCCAACATCTAGTCAGAAGAACGACAAAAACCCTACTTCCAACTACTGCGAACCTCCTTATACCAAAGCTTTGGGTTAATGTCGACAAGAAGCTCTTTCTGTGCAAGCATAGACAGGCTCATCACTACAATAAAGGAGCTAAAGACCTGGAAGAGATCAGGAACCAGTTAAGGCCATTGTACAATCCAAGGTTGGCATGCGAGCATACGAGCTTCGCACTGAGAATGGACAGGTGTATGTCCGTAACCGCCATCACCCGTGAAAGTCTCAAGAGCCTTTGTACAGAAGCTTTCCTGTGATGTCTTTCAAAGGCATGACCACACCTACCAGGGATGATGTGAATATCTCACTGAACCTGAAGGAGGAACATGTCACAGAATACACAACCGTTTTCCCAGCAACAGTATCAAAGCAAAATCCGCTACAAATCCACCTGAACCAGACAGGAGGGCCGAGCCACAGTTATCAGTTAAGCAAACTGCAAGCCATCCCATCCAAACCACACGATCCAGAAGAGTGGTGAAATAGAGTACTAAAGTGTGACGTCACGCTGTCATGACAACCATTTTTCTGGGTCTAAACAAAACCAGGCTGCAATACGGACGCCATTGTTAATTGCGGTTTCGTATTGTTCGCTAAATAATCTCGACATGAAGGACTTTCTATTCCAAAGAATGAAAAAAACAATGGTTTATGGACTCCACTGTTGTGCTCGATGCAAACGTTTGAAGCTGTACGTGTGATTTTATGGAGAAATTTATCTGTGAGTAGGTGGTCGATCCCCACAGTGAAAGGCCACAAAGGTCACGAACATGCATTGCTTTGCTCCGGAATGTAACCATAATTCGGAATCGCATACTTGCCGGTTCTTTCTGTTTCCAAATCCAGATAAGGACAAGGAAGAATATGACCGATGGGTTCGCTTACTAAGGTAGGCTGAATGTTTGCTGTTTTTGTATGGTTTTTCACCATCGTGCAATTTGGGTGCAAGTTTGTTTACAATGATAACGGTGATAAAGAAATACTTGAGCTTTGTAAATGTATGGCGAGAAGTGTAAGGCACAAGTAGTATTCCGATAGTTTAAGCTAAAATTTTGGCGTTGTTTAAACCTCTTAATGTTAATCTGAAGGGTAATGTTCTATATCAGGAGAGCTGACAGAAAACCAAGCAAGCATTCCAAAGTGTGCAGCTGTCATTTCAGACGTGGAAAGAAATCTGCAGGGCCGGAAATTTTCAAGTGGAATGCTGATAAACTATTCCCGTCACAAAAAACTCCTCCGAAAAAGAAAAAGAAACCCAAATCATTGGTTAATAAGTTACCGACTGTTAAAGATACCATGGCCATCATTAATGCCAAATCTACAGAGTCTTCAGATACATGGGACGAAAGATCCTCAACTCCAACTGAGCAAATAATCTTAGAGGCAGAATTAAACGTAGCGAAGCAGGAGCTGAACTATCACCAGGACACCATGCAGTATCAGAAAAAACATTACTCTGTTTCAAACTTGAGTTCTGAAGTAATCAGAATGGAAACTGGTTTACCAACAAAGGAGATTTTCACAATTGTAGTGGATTATACAGCTAAATTCAAGGACTCCATTTCTTATTACTGTGGATGGAAAGTCGAGTCCATAACCTTTGAGGACCAAATCTTCATAACACTTATGAAATTACGGCAAAACTACACCAATTTACACCTGGCACAGCTATTTTCATGCAGTGTTGGGACAATTTCTAACATAGTTATAACATTTGTACACATCTTACATACACTGCTGTTTGATGATCTGATGAGAGTGATTCCTTCCAGGAACAAGAACTGCTTGTGTTCGCCATCATCCTTTTCAGAGTTCTCGAGTTGCAGAATTATTATTGATTGTACTGACATTGAAGTGGCCACACCAAGCCTTATGAGTCAACAAAATGTGACCTATTCAAGTTACCGTGGGATGAACTCATTCAAAGTTTTGACAGGGGTTGCACCTAATGGAGTGTTGACCTACATTAGCAACCTCTACCCTGGATCCATCTCTAACAAAGAGATTGTCCAGCAATCTGGTTTTCTACAGCACTTTGTTCCTGGTGATCTGATCTTAGCAGACAAAGGATTTCTCATTCAAGACATTGTTCCTAAGGGTGTGTCTGTGAACATTCCACCATTTCTTGAACACGGTAAATTTACTGAAAGTGAGGCCAAGTTAACCAAGTCAATTGCTAGATGTCGCATACATGTTGAAAGGGCAAATGCAAGGCTCAAAGATTTTAAAATTCTGAGTTTTGTCCCTCCATACTTAAGGTCTCACATTGACAAAGTGTTTCAGTTATGTGCAGCTATTGTCAACTTGCAGTTTCCATTAATTAAAGAGGGGTGTGAGGGAACAGACTTTGACTAGGAAATTTAATGTACATTGCCAGTTAAGTGGATACATAAGTGATATTCTCAAAAGCAATATTGTACAGTTGGGTGTACTTTTTATTGTTCTTTAATCGTCATATTCTTTAAGATCTTCTGTCAGTAGGCTTTTGTTATGGTACATGTTTAAGTTCAGGATGCCTGCAGAGGAAGTGAAGCAATTCGAGTGATTTAATATTTCTTCTTAATGTTGTATATGCATGCACGTTTCATAACATCAAAATAAATTTTTATGATTCATGATACATGTACTACTGCACATTATCTTGCTAATACTTTAAGAAAATGTATAATATCAGTCTGCTCAGTCTGCAGGATTTGTATGTGTATTTGTACATTTGGACTTAGAGGGTTAACAGTCATGTGTTTGATTGGGTAGTGTTTCTATAACTTATGAGAAACTTAAAGTTGGTCACTCTTAGGAGTTAAAGGATTGAATGAAACAGACTCAGTCATAACAAGTTTTCAAAGAGAAACTTTTTTTAATGTTTGTCACAAACTAAGGAACTATAAACAATAAAATTAACAGGTTACATTTCATACATTATTATTTAGGAATAAAAATACTGTGAAATTGAAAATTTTCCGAACAGCAACAAGTTTGAAAGGTGGACAGCCCGTATCATGTATAGCCCTGTACACAACATACAAATTGTGTTTCAGTCATACAAGAAGTGCCCTATAATGGAAAAATAATAATAAAAAAAAGAATTGAAAGTTTTAGAGTTCTCCCTCAATAATTTTTGGGAAAAGGTGTTTCAAATAAAATTCTTTCAGTTCTTCAATCTTAATCTCCCAAGAGTCATCCCGCTGAATTTCAAGAACTACAAAATCTTTCAGCGTCCAGACGACAAAGTAACACTTCTTTCTCTTGGTGAGAAATAAGTGGCCCTGGACTTGGTGCCAGTAAACATGGTCACGTTTCAACACAATTTCCCCATCCTTCTTTTCAAGGTAAAAGTTGCTGGTCTTAATGGCTTCCTCAATAGTCAAATCTCGGTGTGTATAGGGGCACTTAGCCTCTAGAACACTATCTTCTCCAACCAATCCATCAGGAGAGGCACCGAGGACTCCAGAATGGTGTAGCCACACACCTGTTTCCACCACATCCAGGCCAGTCTTGAGCCTGAATGCGTTAATGGCTTCAGATTCATTGCATACCCATACTGGACAGCTTTCACCCTTGATAGATCGTATTCACCGAGAAGGCGTTTGATTAAGGACGGGGTAACACGCTTGGCATTTAAAACTGAACCAAAGTTACTTGCTGTCAGTCGACCCCTCCTGATCATTTGCCAAGAAGGATTGTCCCTTTGTCCAGCAGTAAGGCGGCTTACATCTTCAATAGTTCTCCATTCAACACTGACTTTATTCAGAAAATACTGACGTTGTTCTTGGAGGCCTTGCAACAGTAGAAATTCCTCTTGGAAAATAACATCCTCTACTGTAGCAACTGGCAAGGACTTAGACTGAGTCTGTGGTTCAGGGCTCATGAGCCAATAAAGTCCAGTAAATTTACCATAGTTTTTCAGCCTTTGGAAAAGTTCACTACGTTCTTCACGAGTTGGGTCTCTTAAAAGAGCACGGTATGCAGGTTTTGCAGGAGGAAACATTTCTTGCACTGACGGCAGCAACGAGTTTGTGGCTTTTCGCTTTTTCCACTGGCATTCAATGTCTGTTCTACTGAGGTTGTATAGGCCATGTATAAACAAAGCGACAGCATGACTACACCTAAACATCCCTCGCGGACACTCACAATCCGTTGATTTAATGTTCTTCTCTTCCTCTAAATAAATCTAAAATCGCGGAGAAAACTGGTATTATTTGGGGAACTGTAAGGCGTTTGTAAGTTTTCATATATTAAAGCTTAACTCATGATGGGGAACGTGGTGAAATTACCTTTCAACATAAAAAACAGAGCGAGGTACCGTCGGTTGCGTTTAGGCCTCCAAATCGTGGATTAAGCTTTCTTTTAAATATTTGTATTAGATATAATAACGATCAACATGACTGAGTGAAGCCACAAAATGCATAAAAGCCATTTGGTTGATAGAATCGACAAGAATCAACATGGTTGAAAGTATCGATCACTTACCGTCACTTTATACACTTTTTTCTTCATGCTAGCGTGAACTTCTCCACGAATGACACCATCACTGAAGGAAAAACTTTCTATGTGATTAGACTGATAATGATTTTCACCTCTTGTTAAGGACTTCTGCTCATCAGAGAAAAAGGAAGCCAGCGATGATATCGAAAGTGCCGCCATGAATTACTCCATCCGTTTTGTTTAGACCCAAATTTTTCCGTTGCCACGCAACGTGACGTCATGGCTTTAGTACTCTATTGCCCGCACACAAGACTACGTTTAACCTGGCTGACCAGTACAAACAATATAAACATTTGTTCTTGTTTCGTATGATGCTGGTGCAGGATGGACAGAACTGCTCTTGTTGTTATATATGTATATATCTATATTTTTATTTGTTATTGTTCCGTTTAAAAAGAAAAAAGAGGAAGGATGTGACAATATACTGTTGCATGTTCTCAAGTAAAAACACGCTGTTTGACATTTGAGTATGTAATCGGACAATCAGAGACTATTGCATTGCGTGTACCTTGTGCTTGTATGCTAGAAATGCAGAGATCTGTACACAGAATTCTCATGAAATCGTGATAAAAAGGAATCTTAAAAACATTTCTCATCAAATTTCCTTGCTAAAAGAGGCTTCTTTCCCCCCAAGCAAGCTCGACTTAACCCTCTTAAGAGCATTCTTGTTTAACAAAATAAAAACTTCCAGCCATGCTATAACATTAAATGCATGCAAAAGCGATGCAATATTCCTGCTATTTTTTGTGGAGGCGTGTGTGGCCGAGTGGTTAAAACTCGAACTCTGGATCTGGAGGTCCGGGGTTCAAGCCTCGCCTGTCGCGTTGTTTCCTTAGACAAGGAAGTTTACTCCACTTTGTCTCTCTTCACCCAGGTGCTTAAATGGGTACCGGCGACATACTGCTGGGGGTAACCCTGTGATGGAGTGGCATCCCATCCAGGGGGAAGTAGCAATACTCCTAGGTGCTTCATGCTAATGAAACCGCGCTAAGCTCCGGCCGTTTAAGCCCTTTGCTCGTGTGCACCTTTACCTTTATACCTGCTATTTATTCTCATGCTCTAAGTGAGAATCTCAAGGATATAGAAAATAGAGAAAAAATTGATCTTATGCCTGCTCACATGGTAGAAAATTTGAGCTGTAACAGCCTATATTGGCACAGTTTTAAAAAACATAAAATAGTAAAATAAACTCTAAAAAATGCAAGACAAGTCTTTAATTACGTGAATATCTTTACTCCATTTTTAGGATACATTTGGAAATTTATGAAACGTTTATTCATGAACATCTCGCACCCTTGGCATAAAAAAAAAAACAGGGAAGTTACAAAGGTCGTGCAAACCTACTTATAAGGAGGAAAGATGTAACCGTTTTCTACGGTTTTTGACATCCTTAATAAAGAATGGTGGAACTTTAAGAAAAATGTTATTTACTTTCTTGTAGGTATAAAAACATTCATTTGAGATATCAGCATATAATATTATTTAAATCTGCATTTTTAAAAAAATGTTAATTTCTTCGAAATAGTACAACAGATTTTCCCCTAATTTCAGCAAATAAGCCACAGAGCTCATTAGTTTTGTAAGTACGTTTGAAGGCAACCGTGACCATACAATGCTGGTCAAATTTAACTTTCAAATACTATGGTAACACATTAGTGAAAGGTGACACACAAAAAGTGGAAGAATGCTGTAATATTATCTCCTATCTGAAAGGGTGTTTTTACCCAAAACATTATTGAAAGAAACTGAGTACTGGAAATCAAAAACCTGCATCTAATTACCATTAGCACTACAAGTAGAACAACTTTATGCTGCATGCAGTGTAAAGCGAAAGAACTTATGTTTGCAAGACCCCAAGGAACTTTTGCTTGCCAAAAAAATACACCTGCATTGCAGCTACAGATTTGTTGTATTTTAATTAGCAAGCGTTTTTTTCTTGTTTTTGTCTCACCCTGTGTCTTGCATCCTTTTTGTCTAAGAAATACAATTTACGCATGATTACCTTCAATAAATCTGCAGATGGTTGAGTAATGGGAACAAACAGGTAAGATTCTTTGTACCAGCTCCAACATTGATATCTCTGTATTTAAAATGGAATAAGATGCATCATACATGATGTATGCTTTTTATATTCTGCATTCCATGATAGACGAAAGGCCACAACCGACACTAACTCAAGGTGGTCACTAAGATTTCAAGTTGCCGCGTAAATACAATTCGTGGGCAGGGAATCAAACAGCTACATGTAGGGGTTTCTTTTGGTTCTATTTTTCTTCTATTTTCCTTTGAAAATAGGCGGGGGCCACGTTCAACGGGGGAAATCCCCAGCCCCCGCCTCTTGATGACAGCCCTGCTAAATCTCACCTAAATGTTTAATTTTATATGACAGCATGCTCTTACCTAAAGTCTTATCAATGGTGAAACTTCTGGCACTGAACTTGTCTTTAAGAGGTTTGACAAGAAGATACTTCCCCTCAACACCCTGAAAATAAACAAAAAAGCAAATGAAACTCCATTTCAATTTACACGAATAAAAGAAATAGCCTGCATGCACTCAACTTGATGTATGTTGCAGAGCTGCAAATAACAATGGGTCATCAGATGATATCCCACTAAAATGTATCCATGTTTGACATAATCTTACTTACAGTTGGACACAACAACAGGAAAGATCAAATACTTGGGAATATCATTTTCAAGGTGAAAATTTGCCTTGTAGGTTTGCACGTGACCACCCAGTTAAAATACATTAAAAACTCGCACATAAGAACCTAGAATTTTCGAGGTCAGGCTGTACACGCTATTCTTATATTTTAGGGTAGTTTTTCACAATTCAGGTCGATTACGTTCTTAATAGGTTCTTGTTTTTTAGAGGTTGCCGTAGTGTAACCTTTAGAAGAAATAATACTACATAAAGATTAATACATAATACATAATGGTTAATCAAAGGAAACAATACCCAACTTTTTTCACACAATTCAAATCCAGAATTTTGACCATCAAAATCGAACTGATTTTTTTTGTAAGAAACTATTTTTCTTTCCCAGGCTGAACAGGTTCTTATATTTTCGGCGTTTTTGGCCTGTAGGTTCTTAAATCACTTGGTTCTTATGTGCGGGTTTTTACTGTAGTTATGATCACATTCTTTTGACCCTTGAACTATTAAGACAACTACTCACTTGCAACATTTTGGTAATAATTAAGTTGATTGACCAGCTAACTGATTTAGTGACAAATATAATGGACATTTGCTCACCTGAGTAAAAATCATTACACAACAACAAGTGCTCTAAATGCAGCATTAAATGTTGCTGGTATAAGTGAAAGTAATGTAAAAATGGACTCGTTTGATTCTCAATTCTCTTGGTCTCATGGTCTTCATGGTCATGAATAAAACAGTTAAGGTAAGGAGGCAAAAGATAGATAATCAAACTAGTTAGGTTCAAACAATTTTGGAATTTCATTTTAAAACACTTTTTACAACCTAGTCAAAATCGGCATAAGGGACAAATCTCACCATCATAAGAAACAGAAGATCTTCTACAATGGCTAACTCCTGCATAGGTAAAGGTAAAGTTCCAACTGACACAGGCTGTAAATAAATGTACAACATTTGTCAAGCCACATTATGAATAGATATGCAAATTATATTTTAACGTTGGTGCTCCTATGTTATCGTAAATAATGATTACGCCATTATTCCTATACAATTAAATGTAAGGGCAAAGAAAGGTAACACTCCATGTTGGCTTTAAAGGGAGAACACCACTCTGCTATTGGCGTGATGTTCGACTTCCCCAAAAGTGTCACAAAATTACATAATTTCAAAAGAACTGGAATTTTTAAAATTCCACCTTTTTTATGGTAATTTTGTCATGAAATTTGGTGCTTACTCTTGGCAAGAAATTACAATAGTCCCAGAACCATATCTGTGAAAGCTTTAACAATGCCCGTGGCCGCTGAACCAACCTTACGTGCTATAAAGCACTTACAGCACATAACAAAAGGTGACAAAAAGTGCATGTGCCGATTTGAAGTCCCTATACAACGTGACTGCCTTGAAGAACGATTTTGTTTTGCAAGCACGTGGTTTTTGTACAGACTTTTCATTGCCTGAGCTCATGTCCTCTCAGAGGGCTATTTTTAATCAGTGTATGTGAGAATTAGGTAAAATGAACATACTCACAACTGCGGAGGAAGTTGTTAAACCTGCAGTCACATAATCTCTGCTAAGGTAAGGACGTTCGCTGACCCAGGATGGCGTTGGAGGTAAATTGCCTGTAAAAAAATAATAATAAATTATTAACAGTATATAACAGCCACTTTTTCATGTTGATTGGGCTTGACTTATGATTATGCTGATATGACTTATAACTTCACCGATATGACTTATGATGATTGATATGTTTTTGTATTCAGAACACTGCAAATTTATTAAGAAAAAAATAGCAGCTACAGTGAATGGGTATTAGAGTGATTAATGTACTCATTGTTATTCAGAAACCACAAACGTTTTTACAAAAGAGAAGGACTGAAGAATTCTTACTGTCAAACTAAAACCATGAACACCTGAAATATTTTAGGAATGATTATTGTGTTATGACCAATCAAAGCCAAGATCAGGACACATGCACAAGCTAATTACTGTTGCTGCTTGCAGTTTAGTTTTCCCACACCTGATTAACTCTTCCCTGGCAACACAATAACTGTCCAAAAATATTTCTCACGTTTATGGTTTTGTGAGTTTTGCAATAAAACTAGTAACAAACAAATTTACATATTAGGCTAAATATTGTTATGGCTGCTACAAGGTTCACACATTAAGTGCTTATAAGATTAGTATGTACCAGTCCTCCTGGCTTGTTTCTCTCTTAAGGCTTTTAACACAGCTTCAGGAGATGAACCTGATTGGCTAGCACTACTTGTTACCGTTGCAAGTTTGGTGCGAAGCTACGGGAAATAAAAAGAAACAGGGTTTTCATTAAGAATTCTAGTAGGAGGAGAAAGGCGGAACGTTACAAGAGAATATTTTGACAGAGGCTCCTCATCTGAATAAAAAATAGTCACACGATACCAAACGTTAGCCAGAGAATTTTTCATTGTAAATGGAGAACACCCTGGAAACAGAAGGAAGTAATCATTACTGGGAAAATAACAAGACTACCAACATTGCTAAATAATTAGTTTAAAAAATAATTCAGGGCTGTCACTTAGGACCAGGGATTTACCCATCTCTACTCTATGAGCATGACCCCTAGCTACTTTAATAGGAAACAAAAGGAAAGTAGCCAAAAAGAAGTTCCTACATATTCAATTCCGGCTGCCAGGATATATAATCACCAACTTGAAATGTTAATGACAGTCCTGATTATTGCATATGGCTTCACATTCTAAACTCCAGGGAACAAAAGAAATATAACAAAGAACCACAACCTTGGATTTCGTCCACAGACTTCTAAGTTTAGACTTAGAAAAATCATATTCTGTCAAACTTTTGAGCATAACAGTCAACATCCATAAATATTGTTTTGTGGATTTGACCTCCCTGCTTTTCCCCTATATTGGAAATCCATGAAGAATTTCCTCTAAAAATGTGGACTTTAGACATTATTGTATGTTACGTAATGTAATAAGACACCGGACACATGTAGGTCTTGTGTCAGATTTCCCTTCATGTGTAGTTGCTCCTCAGTTGATGATCTGTTCTAATAAAGAAGCTAATCAGAGAACTTAACATGGTGGCAGCGGTAAATCAAACAGAATGAGCAATGCAGAGGTTGAAGAACCAACTGCAGAGGCCTAATCGATCACTGAACAACCAGCTCCTGCCGCTGGAGCACAACCAGCGGTGCCATGGCAAGGTATACAACCCCTGACAGGATTGAATCTGTCCTTGAGAAACACGGGCGAGATCTGGAAGTTATACAAGCAACAATGGAAGAACTATGAACCTGTGGTCTGCAGTTGAACAGACAAACAGAGGACAAACAGGACGCATGGTGTAAGAGAAGAATACGAGGAAAGATCAAGTGAGGCAGACGACATAAATGAAGAAAGCTCAAGTGAATCAGATTACATTGATTGCGAGATAGTAACATCTGATTCTATTAGTACAGTCGAACACCGTGAAAATGCGCAAGAAATTTATGCAGAAATAATCCTGAAAGGAAAAGCAATCCGCTTTCATGTAGACTGTGGGGCGACTGCAAGAAATATTCCATAGAGTTTGTCATCGTAAAGGAGGAGTTAATCCCACTTCTGGGAGAAAAAGCCAGCCAACACATGAGACTCCTCGAAATACACCCAGAAAATTTTGTGCGAGTAGCAGGCGTCAAACAGCTGAGCTGCAGAGCAGACAAGTTGAAGACCCCTGACCAACTCATCAAGAAGTATCAAGATGTCTTTGAAGGGGACTTGGGAACCCTTCCAGGAGCTCAGCGATTAGAAGTCAATCTTAGAATATCACCAAATAATTTATATCACCTTCCAGACGGGCACCCTTAGTGCTGAAGCCGAGACTCAAGCAAGAACTAGAGAAGCTCGTGAAATTATGCGTGATAGCACCAATGGATGCACCTACAGACTGGGTCAGCAACGTTGTGATTGCGACAAAGCCATCTGGAGACCTGACGATCTGTATTGATCTGAAAGAGCTCAATAAAGTGCTCCCATCCCAGTGTTAGAAGATGTTTTGCCAGAACTATCAAAAGCTAGAGTATTCATAAAAGTTGATGCCTGCAGTGGGTACTGGCACGTGGCACTTGATGAAGAGTCAGCCAAACTGACGATGTTCATTATACTCAAGTGCACAGAATTCCCCTACCTGGCACGCGTTGTCACCAAAGAGGGCCCGAAACCAGACCTGGACAAGATAAAGGCTGTGCAAAAAATGCTGAGACTGGACAACATCAAAGCAGTCAGAAGATTCTGTGGATTCGTCAATTACTTAGCTAAGTTTATGCGGAAAGTAAGTGGAGTCATGGAGCTTATTAGAAACCTCACTTGCAAAGAGAATGAATGGAAATGGACCCATGAACATGACGCAGCTTTGAAACTAATTAAACAAATGGCCACCACATCACCACTTCTCAGGTACTACAACCCGGAAGATGAACGAACAATCCAATGCGAAGCCAGTGGGAAAGGGCTCAGAGCAGCAGTACTAGTGAAAGGTCTGCCTGTGGCTTTTGCTAGCCATGCCCTCACAGACACAGAATCAAGATATGCATAGATTGAAAAGGAACTTCTTGCTGTGGTCTTTGCACTAGACAAGTTCAAGCAATATACATATGGCAGACCTGTCACAATCGAGAGCAGCCACAAACCCTTGGAGGCCATTGCCAAAAAGCTGTTAAGATGTGCACCCAAAAGACTACAAGGGATGTTTTGCAAGATTCAGAGGTTTGACATCAACATCGTGTACAATCCCGGATCTTGAATGTACCTAGCTGACACACCAAGCAGGGTGTACCTGCCCTCAAGTAAGAACACTCAGAGAGACTTTGAGATGGTTAATGTGCTAAAGATCCTACCAGTATCTGAAGAAAAGCATGAGGAAATCCTGAGACACATCAGTAAAGATAAAGTCCTGCAGCTGCTTAAAGAAGTAACTCTAACTGGATTTCCAGCGGACAAGAAAAAGCCTTCCTGCTTTGCTGACCCCTACTACAGTTACCGGGATGAGTTGTCTGTGTATGATGCACTGATTTTTAGGGGAGAACGCCTTGTCATTTCACATGCCCTGCGCTATCAGACCATGAAACAGGTGCATAGCTCCCACATAGGAATCAATGGATGTCTAAGAAGAACCTACGAGTGTCTCTTTTGGCCGAGAGTGAGTGCTGAAATAAAGGAATACGTAATCCAATGTGAAATATGCAGTCAATACTCAGCTAAGCAAGCCAAGGAAACACTGATGAGCCATGAGCCCACTGACAAGCCATGGGAAAAAGTCGCAGTACACATCTGCAATCTTGACAACAAAAATTAAAACAAATAATAATAAAAAAATGGTGTAAATTAAAATTAAAAAATGGTGCCAACTTTCCTCACTTGCAGCCAATGCCTGAATTGCAGTGGAACTAGAGAGGTGAGATCGGACATCAACATGTAAAGGTGCACTCTGTCAGCCACTTCAGTCCATCATTGTTTTGATCACATCTTGCCCACCCAGACCGATGACAGCATAAGTCAGATAGACCATGACATCAGGGCCTATGTCCCCTACTCTTTTCGAACAATGTCACGGGTTCTTTTACATCCCCTTCCAATGGAAGTACAAGGATGAAGGAGACAATGCCAACAGCTTAACGTCACCGCCCAGTGATGCTATCATCTGAACTGGGAAAGGGGTTTCGCAGCTAGCATGATCTCACCAGTTTTTTAAAGACCTTGGTTGATGGTCCGGCCGGGGAGTCAACTCATGACCTCCCGCTCAGCAGACCGGTGCTCTTCCAATTTAGCTTACCGGGCAGCAGTTAATCTCATCGCTGTGGACTATTTCTCCAATTTCTGGGAAATTGACAGGCTCAGAGATACCAAAGCATCAACATGTGTATGCGAGCTGAATAGCCAATTTCCAAGAAACGGCATTCCTGATGTTGTAATCTCAGACAATGGACCACAATTCACTTCTTCAGAGTTCGCTCAGTTCGGAAGAGAATGGGGCTTTGAGCACAAGACAAGCAGTCCTGGTCATCAACAGGCTTTTGTTCAGGCTGAATCTGCTGTAAAGACGGCCAAGAGCATCTTCAGGAAGGCAAAGAAAAGCAAAAGTGACCCCTACCTTGCAATACTTGCAGCACGAAAAAGCACTACAGAATACACGTGGACTTGAGTCCAAGGCTGGTGGGAAGACCCACCAAAACCCAACTGCCCATAACAGCTGAACTCCTCAAACAACAGCATGTCAACACAGAAGACATTAACAAGCGAATCAAAATGCGTCAACAAAAGTAAGAGCACTACTACAAAAGAAAAGCAAGAGATCTACCCATGCTACAAGGAGATGTTGTACACATGAGACCATAAACACTGAATGAGAAGACATGGAACAAGGCAATGGTGGCAAAAAGACTGGATGAACAATCATACCTAGTTGCGACAAGCAAAACAGAGTGGATCTTCGAAAGACACAAGAAATGAGCCAACCACATACTGGTAGCATTAAAAGGCGTGAAGTCAACTCAGAAAATGGTTGTCAGAAACCGTGACCCATATGCCAGCCAACCTCTATGTTACCGTCTAACTATCAGAAATCTTGTTCTACACAAGCGACAACTGCACCCCCAGGTAACGAGAAACCGGAGCTGGGATGCCCTAACAAACCAGTCAGCCCTACATCCATGTCAGTGCCGACTGAAACCAGACCCAGGAGAGTGGTCCATAAGCCAGCATACTTGAAGGACTAATACATTTTAAGAAACTGAACTGTAAACCCTTGCTCCACAAACATTGAGAGCAAGAGACAGATACTGAGATTAAGGACATGACTAGAAACAATTTCTCTTTTTTTTCCTTAAGTTACAATTAAGCTTAGATGCGTCATTTATCTTTGTTTTTGTTTTGTCACTTTATATAACTTAGTTGATTCATTTATTCATCATTCATCTTAGAGGAGGAAGGATGTTACGTAATAAGACACCAAACATGTGTAGGTCTTGTGTTAGATTTCCTTTCACGTTTAGTCGCTCCTCAGTTGATGATCTGTTCTAATAAAGAAGCTAACCAGAGAACTTAACATTGTACAATATTAAACTACACCAATGGTTCTAAGATTCCTTAGGTTAGCAATGTATAAGTGACAGGTCAAAATTAAATTCAGGTTAAAAGTCTTTAACTAGGTTGATTCTCAATTTCCTTTATCTCCTAGCCCTAATCATTCATGAATTAGGGTTACCAGATAAAGGAAATCGAGAATCAACCTAGGTTTAAAACTTTTAACCTGAATTTAGCTTTAACCTGTAACATTATATAAACATGAATGCAAGAATGTGTTACAAGGTAGAATAAAGTGAACATAGACTGTACTGTGTACTTCTAATCTTAATTGAAAGTAAGGAAGATACCTGTGTAGCAGAAAGTGCAGCTGCTGGTGTTACTTATACATATAAGACATACTTACTTCATTAACTTCAAGTTGGGTCATAGTTCCTGATGCAGGTACGCTATCCAGTACGGCCTCGGCAGCAGCTATTGCACTAGTCTTGGACCCACTGGTTAGAGCACCTACACGTGCCCTGGATCGATCCTTGGTGTTCTTTTCAAGGAATGTCAACATCTGTAACAACATAACTTCACTTAACTGTAACTTTATTTAGGAAAACACCTTTTACACTTGATTGGCTTCAAGAAGCAGCTGCTAATATAGCTAGGCCAGGTTTAAAGAGTATGAGGGGAGGGAAGTAATCACTGACAGTAACTCTTATTACTGTGATGAATTTTGATTTTAACACCAATTCAATAAAACTTTCCAGAAACATCCAAATGGTTGCATAAAGTCCAATATTCAGTTTATGCATAAATCATAGCTTTCAAGTAGAAATTCAACGATATCTCAAGATTCCTCTTACAGATTTTTTGTGAAAATTCACACGGCAGAAGGAAAGCACCCAATTCAAATTGTACACAGCAAATAAGGGCTGCAATGTGATTAAGAGCTAAAACCATAGTAACGTCATTGTCAAGTGATCATTCCAACCGTAATTAAGTTCAGTCTATGTGAAACCCATGTTTAGTTATAAGAGGTCCAAAGGGGAAAGGTATGCCTACAAAAATACTGGTTGCGCCACCTTAAGACATTTTGCTGCTGTTAAGTGCATGTAAAATGGCATGGGGACATAATGGTAATGTTACCAGACACAACATTTACATTTACACATTTTACCTTGCCAAATCTATTAAAGACAAAGTTGCAAAAAATTCAAACCTGCTTATCCTCGGCCAGTCGAGACAGCATGTAAACCAAAGGATCAAGTTCCCTCACACTGCAAGTAAACAAATACACACTGTTAAAAAATTCTACTAATGCTTTACATTGACATCAACAAACAAACATTGTACTAAAGTTTACAAGAAAACAGCTGATGACGTCAACAACAATCCCTCCACAAACATCTTGTAAATACGTGTTTGATCTGAAAATGTAAATATTGAGGACAACTCAACTTTTTAGACTTCAGTTCGTCATATTTCTTTAAAAAGTCCCTTGGTGTAGTACTTGTTTCAGCAATTTTTCGTTTAGCTGCATGGGCTGAGACCTGGACAGATAATGAGAGGAAAATCAATAACTATTTTCATTTATTGGACATAATTGCTATGTATACTGTATTTACGGTACTATTCAATTTCCAGTCAAGTTATCCTGGTCCAGACCTTGAGTGGGTATCATAATGTGAAGTTCATTGATTAGGATTAGGGACCCTGGATACAAAACTATGACGGTGACGGCAACGGGAATGTCAAAAAACCATTATGTCTAATGAGCAAAGCAACGACTCTGCACATGCTTTTTCTTAAATTTCTTTGCCAGCCCTGTGCAACTACAATGTAAAATGACCAAATTTTAAGTTTACTTGAGAACAGGAATGACAAGGCGATAGATTCTACTATCTCTCTATCAACTTGGACTCAGTGCCTTCTCTTCAGCTCCAATCTAAATTCCCTCTTTTAAGTAACAAGGTGACTTAAGATAATCTTGATATAGTTTGAGAGGATATGAAGTCTATTTTTATAGGCATTTTCATGGACGTTGCTGTTGTCGGAATGTAAGGTCCCTAAATAACGACTTCAACTAATTTTAACGTGCCTACCTACTAAATTTCATCACGCCAACCCAGCAGAATACCTGAAACTACACTTTTGGAATTACTTTTACTGTTGTTACTTCACTGAGTTTAAAGTTCTCACAATGGCAGCACTATATTAATCAGGGTTGCCACTCATCAGAAAGTTAAAAATTCCCTGACTTTTCACTGACCTTTTATTAATGAGAAACAATTGATATTTACATGTATTCGCTTTAGCTTTTTTGCAGGCCATCAATATTTTTCTATTCATTTTCAACCTCTTTCTGCTTTTCACGGAAAGGGGAAGAAGGAATTTGGAAGAAAGCATTCACAACGAAAACCACTGACCACAACTATTACTTTATTTAACAATTATTTAAACAAAGTCTAATTTACACTGTGGTTTTGGAAATCTTTGGACCTCCAGATCTCTTCCTTAGTCGGTTACTTTAAGAAGACAAATGATTTTATAGTCTACGCCATAAGCTTTCATGAAACTATTCACGATAAATGGTGTTTACATAAAAAAGGTTTGGCAAACTGAAAATGGATTAGAATACATTGAAATGTACTGCTTTGAGCGCCCCCTATAATAATAATAAAATTCTAAGTTACTGTTGCGTTGATCACATTGAAAATGTTATAAATGAATTGGTTTATGCTTCAGCTGGGGTGTATGGAAAAGCCGGAATCTGGAATCCGCGTATATGAAATTCTAGAAGAAAAATTTTGCGCCGTACGCAAAAAATGCGACAGTAAAAAATATAATAACAATAAATTAATATAATGTGGGGATGAAAAGTCTTGATCGAGCAAAAATTGTTAGTGACACTCTTAAGACAGAAACGTCTCCAAGTTTTATTTCTTAGGTTCGGGTTTGGGTTCGAGTTCGGGTTCCGTTTCCGTTTCCGGCTCTGGATTCCGGATTCCGGATTCCGGCTTTTCCATACGCCCCTTCAGCTGTGCGTATATTGAAATATGAAGCACCTGCGGAGTTTGGAGCTCGAGAGCACTCAAGAGACTAGAGTTGCTCTCAGCTGCACCTTGAGCAACTCTTACATCTCTTTCGAGCTTTCCAAGCTTCCTGGGTGCTTCATATCTTGACATACGCATGCTGATACATAAACCAAATGTTAAGTGCAACTGCAAAATAGCTAACGAAAGAAGAGATGGCTTCCCTAAAAAAATCCACAATGCACAAAAAACACTGAGCCAGTCTCACACTCATCCAAGAATGCCACTACTCTTTTGTTTAATTCATGCAAACAGGTATGTAATATGTAAATAATTTTAAGCCATAAACAAAGAATAAATATAGCCAGGATAAGGTCTACAGGGTACAGAGCTGTTTGTATTGTTTTACATGTGTTGTAACTCTTGTTCAATGTTCAAACTATCAGCTACATGACTGGGCATACAATGCATAGCTCCTTTGGACCTTTTAACAAAGGATGCCAGTAAAGGAAGAAAAATCAATAGAATCATTACACTTGACAGTGGAAATGACAAGAAATTGAAGATTTCAGATTTTGCAAGTTCAAAACAAGGTTGATAAACTGCTGTGGCCCTTCAAAAACATCACTGCCAAAACTACAATACGGCGTTAACTGAAAATCTACCAACTTTCCATACCAAATCTTCATCTATAAGTAAGTTTAACAAGTTACAGTTTGAAGAAGTGGAAAAGTAGATTTTCCTGTTTACAATGCAGATTGTCAAAAATTTGAACTCCATGCAATGCGGCCCTGCTAAAATTTCTCAAAATTACACATAATAATGGGAATGTCCAAACAAGCAATCAAAATCACCACCTGATTTTTGGGCAGTGATTAGTTATGTCACTGGAAGGTATCAGTGACTGGTTAATCCAGATGTCTCTCTCAGGAGTTTGCAAATCGAGAAGACGGCTGAAATTCAGGCTAGTAGTAAAAACTGCAAAACTAGCTGTTATTTAAATGCAGGTTTTCTGCTGGCCCAATGTGCTAGAGATAAAGCTACAAATAACACATAATATGTTAACCTGGGTTGTAACATAAGGAGTCAAATTCTTCGTGAGTATCTCAGCATACACTTCTGGGCCATCCCCTGTGCTTGCTCTGAAAGTAAAAACCCACTGTATTAGGTAAGAAACTTATGGATCAATTAAGTTTGTAATAGAAATACATTTGAAAAGAATTGAATTAATAAGGTGTGCTGTGCTTTGAAATATGCAAGGATTGGACAGTGTACTTATCAGACACGCATTTACAGCTGTATGACATAACATTAGCAATTATTGGACGAGGTTGAGCAAAATACCGTAAAATTCCAAAAATAAGCCCCGGGTCTTATATTTTTCAAAAGCCCTTTTTGAGGGGCTTATTTTTGGGGGGGGGCTTATATTCAGAGGGGCTTATCTACGGAAGGAAAATTGCATTTCAAAATTGATTGGGCTAGCCTTATAGTTGAAAGTGAATTTATCGTTTTTGCTTTGTTTTACTTTGTAAGCTTTTGTATTTGAGGGTAATTTTCCAAGTGCAAGCCCCCGAGGGGCTTATATTTGGAGGGGTGATTTGACGTAGGGGTTTTTGTGTTACAGTTTGGGGGACTTATAGTTGGAGGGGCTTATTTTCGGAATTTTATGGTATCGTGATTTGTCAGTGGCGAGCAGATCAAAATTATTATTTGCCGAAGCCGAAGGCTGAGGCAAATAATTGATCTGTGCGACACTGACAAATCATGATATTTTGCAATAACCGAGTTCAATAATAATATTGTTTTATCATCCGATCACTGAGTTTGTTTTTTAAGGAATATCTTCGGGAAGCGAAGCAATCTGCCATTTTCATGCAAGAGCAATCGCAAGAAGGAGAAAAGCATGGTTTCATTTACGCATGAGCAGAATAGTATTTGCAGCCAAAAACAGTTGAACGACATTGCGCATGACCACACAATTATTTATAGGCAGTTATTTGCAGGTCACGTGGTGGGCTCTCGGTCAATGAAAAGGAAGAAACATTTGCATTGAATGATAATCAAATTATCTGCAGATTAGCAAACATGATGGAATTGACACATGTCAAGTTCTTTATGTTCCACCATAATCAATGATAGTGGAAACCAACAAGACAGTATACTATGCTTTGAATGCGAGAGTTATACAAACTTGAAGGACAGGACAGAGTATCAGTCATGCGTTTAGAACATAAATCAGATTATCTGCAAACTTGACAGAAATGACACATATCAAGTTGTTTGTATTCCATTAAAATCAATAATACTAGAAACAAACTGGCATAATAATTATCACAAATTCAGCACTCTAATTGGCTAACATATTCACTAGCTATTGCATTTCAGTGAGTAAGCTAGCTGGCATTAACAGAATTGAAACATAAAAAAATCATGAGAGTGTTTTTTGCAGTTCAAATGTCAAACTTTTCATGTAGTGGACCTAATCCTTCAATTAAGTACATCAATGTTTGAATCAATTATATATAAGTCTGATATACCTAATTTGGGAACTGACCCATGAATTACGTTTGAGTGGCCGACCCACAGGGAATATTGACTGTGGAGAGACTTTGTTTCAAACGTTGAACTTTTCAAGTGCCGAATCTAGTGCATAAATCACTATAACTAACTTTCACTAGTAAGCAATGTAGACCATTGTACATCAAGGAAATGAATTGAGTCTGACTACAAGTTTGATGTCCGAATCAACGGTACCCATGTCAAACTTGTCTTATTTGGGTCAACCTAAATGTGACCCTCCACAGGATTTTAATGCTAAAGGTGAAAGCACGCACACCACACGCTTTCACTTTAAAACAAAAGAATTTATTTTAACATGCTATAGCACACTTGCAATCTTGCCTCATTAGCAATTTCTTTTTTTTCAGTGGACATGCTTGAGACAATTAAGCGCGAGCAAGTTGAACAAAAGAGCGTATTAAAGTTTTCAAACAAAAGCTCCATGCGAAAAAGCACAGCACGCTTTCAGCGTGCGCAAAAGCACGCAAGGCGTGTTATCTATAAGCTAAATAAATTTCCTCTACAAAAAGGAACCGTAAATGATTATGAACGGCACCCTTTTTTGGTAACTATCGAGGAAGAAAAAGCTCTACCTCAGCGATCGCAGCAATAGTATCTGATTGAAAAAACGTTGTCGCTTGAAAAGTATAAACAGTGAACGGTGGAACCTACTGGATTTATGGGTAGAACTTTATTAGCATTGCAAAATCAAAGTTCTTTCCAGAAATGTTTACTGACGAAGCTGTGCAAAGGTTATCTTAACTCTCCTTAATTTAAAACACATTTGCAATTTTCTCAGAAACAGTGATCTTTCGGACTTAAGTCACTTTCTCGGTGTGAAAATAATTTTTTATTATGTTGCACTAGTTTACTGTGTCTTTTAAATGCCTATTTTACGTTGATGCACGAGTGGATTTGTCACCCTCCTGAAACTTGGTAGTGCCTTGAGGACGAAATTAAAACAAAGCGGAATTTAAGATAAGACATAAAAAAAAACAGTCGCTTTTATATTTATATTTTTTTTACACAGAAACTCATTTCTAAAGAAATAGTCTACAAAATGCTAACTTTAGAGTGAAAAATTACCATGTCACATTCCTATTACATTGCATTATGAGAAAAAAACAAATTCCATGAAAGAGAAAGATAGGTGCACTAAGTTTTACAAATTTTAACTTCACAGAAAAAAAATAAATGACCTTATCTCAGAAAATTCTTAATTAACCTTAAATTTGCCTTTGAAGCCTTTTTACGAATGTTCTTCTTTTCCCTCTACACTTAGTGTTTATTTTTGTACAAACATTATCCCATTATTCCATAAATGAGGGCGAATCAAACTTATGGCGCAAGATTGATGACAGAAATCGCATCTTTTCTTCATTAAGCTTTTCGAAGCCAAAAGTTCCTGCCGTGTTGCTGTTGGCCAATTCTCTCTATGAAAATAATACGTCTGCTAATAAATATTCCGGTGGCATAACTATAATTTTCAGGCGACATAACTTCAGTGCCTCGCATGCGATAGCAGGCCTCTTTGTGATTCCGGTCAACAGCTGACAGCTGGAGGAATTGGTTTACACTGATGTTACGTTAATTCCAGGCTAGACGACCATTAAGTGGTGATTTTCAAATGGCTACAGTTACGATCAAATTCCAAAACAGTCTCAATTGGTATATTTGATTCACTTCGACCAGTTATCAATGCTGATTACATCCGCTGAAAACCCAAGCCATTTTTATCATCTTCGCAGTTTTAGCAATCAAGCGTGTTCAGCGTGTCTTACCCAAATTGCACGCTAAGCGTGCTATAATTCACACACTTACCGTGACATATGGTACGCTACAAAAAAACAAAAGGTCTAGCGTGTTAAATTTACCAAAACAAAGGCAAGTGTGTCCGTCTTTGTTTTTTCAATTTAATATGCGCATATCCGTGATCTACGGCACACTACGCGTGTCGTGCAAGCATGTCGTGAGCGTGCTTTCACCTTTAGCATAAAATTCCTGTGGAGGGTCACTAATAGATATTAAGTTCGGTGCATGAACTGGGCATTGGGCCAATTTGTAAACAAGTTATATCAACGGTCATTCTGCTAAAAATTATCCTAACAAATAAAAAAGAGATTGTAATGCCTTAACAGCAACAGAACAACCAAGGAACCACAGAAAACCCAAAGATTACATGTAGTGTGCTGCTTGCCAGGAGGCTCACTGCACAAATAATTGTTCACCTCCTTCTGGGGAATAATTGTTTACTTTGAGTTTAGAAAATTAAGACGATTTTACAAAAACTTCAAGCAATTCTTCAAGGTTAAATGTTTGCTTCCAAAATTATGAACTAATATTGAAGCTGCCTTTTCCTGCTGGTAATAAATCAAGAAACTGAAACTGTGTTAAATAAAACAGGAACTGTATATACCGAGTAAAACGCACAAAAAAACCTGCGACCTACCTTTGATGTAAGGTACGTAGAGGTTAAAATAAATGGGTATGCATGTAGAAAGCAGAAAGCAGTTGTTTATCATTGCTCTGCAATGACGGTCAGTTTTAAGCTTATAGGTATATTTGAAATATTTGATGGGATATTGACCCCGTTCTACTTACCCTAATAAGCTCAAAAGCTCTGAGACATGATGGTGTATTCTGAATTCACTCATTTTTCCTACTTCGAGGAAAAGAAGACTAATTTTTCCTGAAAATAAACAAGATATATGTTGAGGTCACTTTACCGCCATTTTTATTGCGTTGAACTGGAAAAGGGAGGTCTGGGTATGAGACTCATACCCAGGACCACCGAGTCCGAAAGGAAAATGGAGGTTTTGGTGTAATGATTTTGTTTCAGGGGACAGAATTTTAATATGTCTGGAGTAACCGATCAAGAAAAATTTGGAGAGTGCGGGCTTCCGGGATGGAAAAAAATATTTATTCAACGGAAGAGTGGTAAAACAAAAGGAAAGTATGATGTTTACGTTATCAGTCCAGAGGGTCGAAAATTTCGCTCTCGCGTCGAACTTGAGAGATACATTTCAACTATACAGAATGATTTATCGATGGACAATGTTGATTTCAAGATCCCAAATTCGTTACTCTACCCGAAGAAACCACATCAAAGTGCTGTGGAAGGATCAGATGGATGTTGTAATGCAGAAAGAGCCACACAGGACACTAAACACACTGAATTCACTGAATTAAAGTCGAAGCTTCAGACGAAGTCTCCGTATTTTTCCCGGAGAAAGAAACGTTTAAATCCACAGCGAGAAAAATCTTCTTTCACCAAACGACGGCGAAAAGACACCCGCTCTTCTAGAACGTTAAAAGAAGTTCCCAAACAAGATAATAAAAGATCAAGGCGATCAAAAACAAGTGTAGCACTTTCGCGTAAAATGGCGCGAAATAGGGTACAAGATAAGCACATTTCTAAAGATCCAGTACACCCCACCAATAGGAAGTCTGAAGCATCAAAAAGAACACACGAGCTTGCTGTTGTCGTGAGCTCAAAGTCTGTTAACCTCGATTCAAATGGAAGTGATTGTTCTTTAGTTTCTACAAGTGATTATTTTAGGACAACATCTGAACAAGAGTCGAGATCATACTCATCATTAACCTGGATCCCTCCTAAATCTCCTTTTAATTTGATTCAAGAAAGCCTCTTTCATGATCCTTGGAAGTTACTGATTGCTACAATATTCCTTAATCGAACAACAGGCAGAAAGGCTATCCCAGTCATGTGGGAATTTTTTAGGAAATTTCCAAATCCTGAAGTAACAAGTAAAGCTGACTGGAAAGAAATTGCTGGTATGTACGGGCCTTTTCAATGTACAACCAGAAAATTTCTGATTACCTTAAATGCCTGAATTAGGTCCTTGCTTCAAATAAGCACCCTTACCCACCTCTACTGCAGGGTCATCAGTTTTTTAAACTGTGAAAATGCAACCATCACTAAAAGAAGTCATTATTTTGAAAATGAAATGATCAGCATGTCATGAGCGTGGGATGAAGAAAAAATCTGAGTCCCCAACAGGATTCGAACCTGTGACCTCCCGAACACCAGGTGGGTGCTCTATCCGCTCATACATCCAACTCTCCCAGATTATCCAGGAGTCTCCCAGATATGACAGCAATCTCCCGGTCTCCCATGCAGGTCACCAAATCTGCCAGATAAAATCGAGTTATGAGCTTTTTTGTACTTTAATTTGGAATTTATCCCATTTTCTCCCAAAATTCGAATTTTCTTTGATTCAAAGTTCAGTTTCTGGGGCATTTAAGCATTTATTTCATCACTCACAAAGATTATTTTGCCATTATGATCATAAAAGCTAATTGTGATGGTCTGTAACTCATGTAAGACTTCATATAATGTCCTAAGCAGACGAGGGACTGGATCAAATTGTGCTTACTGGGGAGGGGGGGGTGTGGGGGTCAGGGAGGTTTGATCGTTGATATTCGGAGGTGGGGGGGGTAATACAAAAGAACGAGTCTCCAGATTTTAGATTTCCAGAGGCTGACATCTCTGTCTACTTAAGCTACAGAGAACTCATGGAGAGCAAGGCCATATACTAGGTTCATATCAACGGTGGCACAGTGGTGAGAGCACTCGCCTCCCACCAATGTGGCCCAGGTTCAAATCCCGGCATCGACGCCATGTGTGGGTTGAGTTTGTTGTTGGTTCTCTCCTTTGCTCTGAGAGGTTTTTCTCCTGGTACTCCGGTTTTGCCCTCTCCTCAAAAACCAACATTTCCAAATTCCAATTTGACCAGGAATCAGGTAGATGAAGAACCACTTACTGGATGTGCTACCTCTAAATCATTATTTAATTTATTCAGGAGGGGGAATAGTCAGTCATCCTAGTACTATTGCTGCAAGATTATAAGAAAGATAAATAGGTCTAAAATAAATTATTCCATTTTACCACGTTTATGGCAGTTATGCCTGCTCAAAACTTCTTGGTAAAGACCATATGTTATGGTCCTTTGATACTACATTTTGATGAGGAGACTGCCACTTACTGATGTTTTGTTCTGTTTCTTCCTTAGAACTCATTCAGTCCCTGGGACTCCAAGAAAAACGGGCCAAAATTATCATCAGATTTTCAGAGGAGTTTTTAACCAAGGACTGGCATTATCCGAAAGAATTGCATGGCATTGGAAAGTATGGGGATGATTCCTATAGGATTTTTTGTCTTGGGGATTGGAAAAATGTAAAACCCGATGATCACAAGCTTAATTACTACCACAGCTGGCTCTGGGAACAAGAAAAGCAAGGAAGTTTGACTTCATAGGAATTCACAGCAGCTTCATAAACTATGACTTTAGTAAAAAATTTTGAATTAACCTGTGAGCCAGCTCTCTATTTGGAAACTGCGAGAGTCAAAGTTTGAAAGTTGTGAACAAATTGGGAGCTTCGCAGGCTAATTGTTGAATCATGCATGTGATCTAATAATAATAATAATAATGATGATGATGATGATGAAGATAATGATGATGATGATGAAAATGATGATAATAATAACATCTATAACTGGAAACTAATATACAGTGCTAACATTTATCCAGTAGCACATTGAAATAAAAGGGAGAAAATCTGGGCTCTTGATTAATTTCAAAATACCTCAGTAGCAGTTTGTAGGCATGCAAGCTAGAGAAGCGAAGAGGGTAGTCACTGGACTTGCAATAAATGTTTGTTGTATGTCCCACGATTCACGGTTCCCTCGGAAGTGTATGTCCCATGTTTGAGCTTCGTGCTAACCACTAGTTGTTTCATAGTAGTCTCATGCTCCACTTCTTAGCCATGCTTGTAGATGGCCAGTTGGCCTTCTTGTTGATTTGTATTGTTTATAATAATATATAGATTTAGCCAGGGCTAAAAGCGAAGCTCTGGTTAATAATAAGTGTAAACAAAAAACATTTAATCGTGTAATTCTAAACGGGGACGACAATGAAAATGTCTTCAAGACTAATAGACTTAGCCAAAAAAACAAATTGCACGTGCAGCACATGTTTTCCTCTAATTGGCAAAAAGCAAATTTGCACGTGCAGCACGCTTTTTTGTCTTTCCCTTGCAGTTGTTTTGCGCGACTGCAACGATGTTTGTACGAAACGTCCTAGTTACACATTATTTTTATGGAGGAATTGTCGTATGTGCTTACCCAATATTTCGTTTCCTGTGTTCACGTTCGCTTTTATTTTTTACTGCCACTCATTTTCACCTTGCTGGCCGCTAGCATTTCTCATTTTCTCACCGCCGCTTTGAATTTCCATGTTTTTGTTCCTACGAAATTCGTCTCCTTTGTTTTCAGTAACTTGCTCTAGCTCTCAGTCTCTGTTATCCACGTTAGTGTAAACATAAAAATAACGCCGAAAAAGACACGACTTTTTTGTTGTTTTTTCTCTCTAAAAGTCCGGGCGGCCATGTGATTTCCTTCCAAATAAAACCTTGAGTTGCATTTGGGTTGCCATACCTGTTGATTGAGTTATTTTACATTGGTATGCCTGTGGTGCAGACGGACGGTCGGTCGGTTTACCGTCACGTGATAACCAAATTTTCTCGGATGGGTAGATTACCACATTTCCTCAGCTATGGGGCTCCACGCGTGGAGCTCCGCTCCTACTACAAGGCTGTCACTAAGATTTCATAATGCTAGGTACAGGCAATTAGAGGGTGGGGAATTTAACAGCTAGGAAGTTCTTTCGTGTCTACCTGTCACGTTATCCGGGAAAAATGACATTTTTTTATTAGTTACATTCAAGGACTGTTTTTTCTTTCGTGATTGTAGCATTGTTTATTTTACTGCATGATCATCGTATATCCGTTTTTGGCTAGGCGTACAAAGCTTTATTCAGTTTTATTTCCTTTACGTCAGAAGGCATGCATTAGATTATTCTTTTCCTAAGCACGTTTATTCAGTTGTAAGAAGTCCACCACAGTGTAAGGAGCTATTGGAGAACTTTAGGAGTTATTACAACTGTAGGAGATTTGGAGTTCTTTTGACCCCCAGAGTCAAGATCAGACATAAGTCACGCTTGTAAATTTAGTAGTTTGTTTTTCCTTCTTTTTTCGTGCATGGAGCATTATCGTAGTTTTCGTTTCTTCTGACGTAAAAAACGCACGTTTCTTTCTAGTTTTCACCGCAAGTGCTGTAAATAGACGGACTAGCCTGATTTTAATAAACGCCATTGAATCATGCTGACCGCTTAGTGCTTCACTGTGGTTGACCTGGCGAGCTCCAGTACCTAACGCTACGCGTCTACGACACTGGGAACGCGACACTACCTATGAAAGTATTTGGGCGTTATGGTCATTGTAGCTGGGGGAAATCCCCAGCCCCTGGCCCTTAATGACAGCCCCACCCACTTACTTCTGTGCCGTAAATGCCCTGTATGATTAATGAAGTATTTTGAAGAGACAGCAGTATCCAGACTACAGCACAATAGCTAACCAACCATAGCCAAGGAAAATGTGATGTCCAGTTTTTTTTTTATTGATAAGGTGTGTAATGGAAGTGAAGAGCTAGCTAGTGTTCTGTTTGCCAGGAAAAACTGAACAACGGAAAGGATGGACTCCTAAATTACACTTCTGAGTTAATTAATATCTATGACCTTTTAGAGAAGTGTGACCGCAGGTTGTTCACCAAAATTAAGAACAATGTTAACCATCCATTATATGCCCTTTTGCCGAAAGTCAGAGTCATCCAAGAAGTTAAGATCACAAACAAGTCAATTACCACGGATTAATACAGAACGTTTTAAGAATTGCTATTTTAATAGAATAAGGTTACAATACATCTTGGCAATTTAACAATATAGATATCCATTGTTTTATTAGGTTTTATACAATAATTGTAAATGATCTGTGCGATTTTCATGATTTGTATACTTTTAATCTCTGTAACGTTTATGTACTTTAACGGGCGAAATAAAGACATTTTAGTTATTTATTTATTACTAAGACCATGGGTTGGCCACTTTAAAAACAATCTATAACAACCGAGAGAAGCTTATTAGGCTAATGTAGGTTGTCTTTCCCAGGAGGCACAGCGGTAACATCCCCCAGAAAAAAATTATGGTAGCCATATAAGGAGATAAAGAGATAACTTACGAAAACTTTGCCTCGAAGTTAGAATAGTGTGCGAGATATGGGAACACCTTACTTAGACTCAGACTTGAAGCACCATAATCACTGCTGACGAAGGACTGATGCCTGCTACTGTGTGTTTTCACATGACGTCATGGCGGCCATATTTGTGTCCCAAAACAATGAAACGGCGGCCATGTTTGTGTCCCAAACCAGTCCTGTGGGAGTTGAACTCTTTTCTTATGTAAACGCTTCCTTTTGTTCCAATAAATTTGCATAGATGCTGGCCACGTGAGTGAAAACACAGAACAGAACAAATGTTGAGACGGACAGTCCTGCTCTGATGACTAACAAGAACTCCTTACATGTCGACCTACCGGTACTTTCTTCTGGTTCATGCACCAAAACTTGCTGCAGAAGGCAATCCGCTTTACTTCTGATCACTTCTCGCATTTTTCTTCTTGACGATGTTGACAAGGTACAAAGTTACAGTTTTAAGAACCTATTATCTACAAGATAATTTGCTCCTCATCAAGTAAACAAAAAGGTTATGAAATTCTAAAGACTGATTCACTCCTTTCGGGTTTCATTTGAAGCCTGTGTCACCTAGTCACATTTAATGTTGGACCAAGACATGGTGATGTTTGGGTAGAGAATACCATTGAATACTTACAGGTCCCATGGACATTATTCAGACGAAACGCGTTGACTGTGAATTGGTACGCACCATGTCTAGTGGTAAAGGAACCTCGGCTTGTCACCCTCGCATAATCGTATCTGCCAGTATCCACTGCTCAGGTCTAGAGTTGAAAAGCGTGCACAACCAAATTGAGGCATCTAGGCAAAAGTCAATACTATCCCGTTACTTTCCTTCCTGACCAAGACTATCGAAGACGTCTAGCAAAATGACAAGGGCTCTGTCCTCCACGTCATCAGCATTTGGTGGAAAAGGCTGTCAGCTTTGGCGCTTTATATAGTATGAATTGCCTCAGGATGGTGGACCGAGAAGAGCCAGTGCTGAGGTAATCTTCTGTTTCTAAGCTCGTGCAGTCAAGGACGTCAACAATCATCAATTTCTATCAATCAACGGGGAAATTTGATAGGGTTTGACATATCGCCTTAGGACCGACGAGCTATAATAAAGCGGTCTACCAGGTGCCCCAGAGGGTAAGGAGGTCAACTAGTTTCATACCCTACCGCCGGCATATAAAGTTCGCATAGTTCCCACTTCCATTTCACGGTGTCCGTGTACAATACACATGGAGAATTGGAGGGGTTTTGCAGCCAGAAAGGACAAATGCCTGAATATACTGTGAATGCCAGGCTCAAAGCTACCTTCAATTTGGCCACTGTTCAGGCAGTCTAAAGACCAGGGTAAAATAACAAACTGAATTTTCTAATGGTTCTCCAATGCAATCAACCGACTTGGGATGATAGAAGAACACCTAAAAATTACTAAACCAATAAAAAGGTCGATCGATCGCTTGGTTAGCCACTTGGTTAAACACTTTCTGCAACGAATGTTCTGCGCTTCCTGCTAACTTTTTGTACCCCTAAAGGATAAAGAAAGGAGGTTACTGGTCAAGAGTACAGGTTCGGGTAGAGCTAAAATCTGTAAAGTAAATACACAAAGGTCCCAAGTTACGATCAGGTTCTCAGAGGAGCTTATAACAAACACAGAAGTTCCTCAGAAGAATGGCACGAAATCGCAAATACGGGGATAATTTGTGTCGGATTATTTGTCTTGTGGATTTGAACAATGCAAAAGCTAATGACCTAACTCAACTGTTTACATGGCTTGCTTTGGGACAAACAAAACTTGAAATGACTTTTAACAACATAGGAAAAACAGCATCAGCCAATCAGCTTGAGTACGTTTTATTGTATAAAAGGTATGTATTTAAGTTACATAACTATGTCACATAGGTTCTTGGCTTTTTCGCAAATCAGTATAAAAAAGCTCATGAAACGTGTTTGTCCACTCTAAAGAATGAAAGGCGAGCCTCTTTGCTTTATGCACGGGATCAGCAAACCATTCTAAACCGAAGGAAAATCCTGCTACAAAGCTACTACAAAATGGCGCAAAAGCAGGAGAGGGTTGAGATATCTCCGCAGTAAAATTTGCTCGTCTTTGATTTGTTGGTTCAGTTATTGCACCTCCACTGCAAACTTTGTAAAGTTGTTTGCCACCTTTTCATTTTGTTGTAAACAAAATGGCTATTTTTTTTAATGGTTTTATTATCTTGGAAACAGGATGTACGCAGAACGTTCCTTAGTAACTCAGTTATACGTCAAGATCAAGTGCTCGTGGTATTAGCCATGCTAAAAAATAGCTAAAACTGTAGAATACATATAAAATATATACAAAGGTAACTGTTCAGCATTCAAGAGACTTTTTAACACAATTGCTATCTACCTTATAATACTATCTCAATATACAATAAAAATGAAACCAAATGTCGTTTTGCAAAGAAGCCAAGATCGCGACAGTTATTATTTGAATTAAAATTCACAAGCCTTCCTTGTTCGTTTTACTCCAAGTACGGTGGCTCAGAAGGATCACACATGCAAATTAAAAATGTTGCTGCAAATTGAAAATGGAAAACATATCGATGCAAATTAAAAATGAAAAGTCCTGCGCGCGCAGTATGAGTGATGAGGACCTGGTCCGAGCCGTGCGACCTGGCCTTACAGCCGTCGGCCCATTCATGTTTGTAATATTCTCACCAGGGATTCCTTCAAACAATGGTGAATTTCAGCATGTTACGTGACTCCAAACCCCTGGAATTTTAGCATGAGAATGGTTATGCAACCTTTGACACGTTTTTTGGCTATATAATCTTATTCCGGTGCGGTCTGTCCTTTAAAACCTCAAAAGTCCTTTCCACGGCGTTTGGGGAGGTTTAGCTAGGTGCGTTAAAACCTCCTGTACGGTATCATCGCTGCGCTATGCTACGCCAAAAGTGACAAAATATCAAAGATTCAACTTTATAATTCAAATCCACCAATTCACTATCAAGATCGATAAAATTAACATCAGTTTGCTTTTTGAATGTGTCAAAATTGTATAATTTAATTTCAATTCGCTCGTGTTTTATGTCATGTATCAAGAGACACGTTTTCTAAATCAAGATGCATGTTTTTCAAATCAAGAAGGGAGACGACAATTTTTGACCAGTTTTGTTTCCGAGGGGGGACTGAAACCGAAAAATCTGCCACGCTCCATGGACTGCTCCATGAAGAATCCCGCCCATTCCCACCTTGCCGCGTTAGACATGGCGGAGGAATCGAAGAACTTGTCAGAAGAATCATTCGAGCAGCACAAGGAGTTAACACATCTCGAACACATCTCAAGCGTGTCAACACCTGACGAAGAACTGAGGCGGTGATTTAAGAACGAGATAGGCTCGATCAGAAAGAAAGCGGAGCAGGCTCTCGTAGAAGCGCTGGCTGAAATATCAGCACAGGCACGCAGAACGATTAAAAAACAAGCTTCGTAAACTCGAACAGTATAAATCTCGCATGAATACTGTAAGGAACAATATGGGAATACTAAGCAGACG